TGAATAAGGCAATACTGAACCCATGGTGCCACCAGCTCATCCTCTACATCTGCCAGGGGGTCCAGTGCTTTGCCACAAACCGCATTGCCTTAATGACACAGGATACCAGAAGGTCCACATCAGGGGTCGCCAGCACAGGCAGATCTGATGAAACATGTCCAGGTGCAGGGACCACACCCCCATATCCAGCGTCTGACGACTAAGGTAATCCAACTGCCAATTTTACACTGCTGGGGATGTGCATGGTGGAGAGAGACAGAATATGCTGCTCCGCTTCAGGCAGAATACAGAATGCCTCCAGTGCCACTGCCAAACTTCTTGTGCTGCCCTGATGGTAGACATAGGCCAACATGGATCCTGGGAACGACAGCCCACAGAGAAGGTCCATCAAATGCTCCAGGGAAAAACGAATTGCTCATGGATCCAGGACATTGATGGGTAGGCAAGCTTCCTCCAGTGTCAAGCAGCCCTGTGCTGATCTCAGACCCAGGACTCCTCTCCAGCTGGACAGGCTGGCATCTGTTGTCACAAAAATTAGGTAGCTGGCAAGTAAAAAAAAAAAAAAAGCCAAAATGTACAATCCTCCACCTGTACTAGTACTGAAAGTTTCAAGACTTCCTATATCCCTCAAGGAAACATATTGGATCAATATCACCTTCGAAAAGGTTTGCAATTCTGTTTAATCACTTGTCTCCCCTAGTTTGCTAACTGTACAGATTTTTTTTTTTATATCATGTCATATTAACCTTTTTTTTTTTTTTGGAATAAGAAAGAGTGGCCCAGTACAGTGAACCAAATGCACTGAGCAGTGCAGTCAACCTGTGCCTGTTTATCCAGAGGCAACAGGAGGGCAATAAGAATACCTTTTAAGTACTTACAGTAGCAGAATTATATGGGTTTTATATAGGGGTCACCTTTTAATCCAACGCTAGTCAAACCCTGAAACATCACATTGTACTTTCAGTGCTGAAACATACTAGTCATGGGCCAAGATCTCTGTGTCAAAGCAATGAATGTAGGCAGTGAAAGACTTGTTCTTATGGAAAATAATCTTCTCTAAGTGATCTATGTACATTGCATGGATTTTAGTAAACAAAGTTGCAGATTCCTACCTTTTTCAGTTCTGAAGAAATAGTTTGTTTTGTTTCCTTTTTAGACTGATTCCTGAATGGGTGGGTCTGCCTTCATTATATTCACCTGAGCAGATCTCAGTATTCCAATGAGAAAAACGAAAATGTCTGCATCCCTTAAGAAGTAGGTAATCCTTATGAGATCCAAATGTATTCTAGTGCAGACATTTAAGAAAGCAAGTCAATCACAACAAAGAAGAAAGTGGAGTTACCCTTTCATGCTTATCTGCAGGTCCTTATTGTATAAACACACTGAAAGAGGACACCATACACAAATCAAATTGGTTGGCAAAGCAGAGGGTTTATTTCACCAGTCACATTCCAAGTCTGTTTTCTATCTATAGTGCAAACATTTAAAAACGGGATAATAAGAACCCCACTACTTCTGCAATTCTCCTATAACCCGTTTCAAAAATACAATTTATATTATTGTAGAAATCTAGCAAGAAAAAAAAAATACAAATCCCAATAGAAAAATACAAACATTTTAAAGCCCAAACATGATTATATCAGAAATAACACACAAGAAAACATAACTGCAGTGGAACGTGAAAAAACAAAACCCTTTAAATACTATGCATGTAAAGTATAAAACGATCCAAGTAAAGATATTATGGACTTGAGTGTAAAGCATAACAATTCTGCTAGATGAAAATGGAGAGGATTTGTGTTGTGTTTGTGTACTTGGGCTGCTTTCCAGTGCTAAACATTGGCATGGATTTACTAAAGGCAAATAGACAGGGCACTTTACAACAGCAGTTGCACTCATATTCTCTAATAAATGTAACGTGGTAAAGCTTCACTTTGTAAAAATACCTAATCAGGTGCACGGACCATAAAAAAAGCATTTTTGCTTGCACAAGATTGGATGACTGAAATCTGCAGAGCTTTACCACATTTACGAAGCCCTGGGAAAAATACATGCAAGTGCACTTTACAAAGTGTACAGTCTGTTTGCCCTTAGTAAATCAACCCCAAAGGCTGTGATTCATTTCTTCGCTTCTTTCCATAATGTAAGCCATAACCTAATGTTCTACCTGTGTGGCTGATAACTTATCTCAACAGCTGTTAAAAGTGTAAAAATGAACTGCAATTTTTCCTCCCTGATGTTCTGATAATTCTAAAATTGAAAGCATTGTTATATCTGTTTGAGAAGTACAAAAAATACCTCTGTAATCTACCAGAAATCTACATTATGTTCAAAAGGACAATCGTCCTGTCCAGTAAAGCCAGCCATAGATGGTTCAAAGTGACCGAGATTCGAACCATGTATGCGCAAGCTGATTGAACGATCAACTGGGGAACAAATTGGGTACAACCAGCCTTTCAGATTTATCATGTGATTGTCAGCAGCTATAGCCACTAGCAGTAATCACTGTGTGTTGTCCTGGCAGGGACTGCTCCCCCCCCCCCCCCAACTTGGAGAGCACAATAGCTCTGTGGAAGGGATCCCACCATCAACACAGTCAGCGTGGTTGCAGGAAAGAACACAACTAGCGGTTGCAGGAATAGAAATCGCAACATCTTTGGCTGGCTTTAATGTCGTCCCACTTCAGGACAAGAAGTGTATTGCTGGCAAAATCAGCAGATAAAAAAAGCCAGAAAAATGAACCAATACAGCCATCACATTCCAGGACTGTAAGCTGCAATATCACATTTTTGTGTTTTTTGATACAGGTAAAAAAAAAAAAAAAAAAAAAAAATAAAAAAATGGAGAGGCAGTAACTGCCCAGAGCAATTAATAGTTTCCTTTAGTGGCTTATCAGCAAATATCCATAATTATCAAAATAATAATGACTAGCAAGCTTAAAAAATATGAAAGACCCAACAAACGCTGATTCATGTCAAACATAAGAAAATATTACTGAATCAAAAAGGAACTATACCTTCCCTTAAAAACAGTAAGTATGGCCAAAGCTTTTTTTTGGTCCAACTTTTCTTCTGGGTCACAGGGGTGCACTTATTTCTGCACTCCTGTGATCCAGATTCTACTAACAGTGGCCTAAAGCCCTCTGTCGGCTAATGTCACAGAGCAGGTCCAGGGTCTGCTGGCATCTGAACAATAATGCCGTGCCACTGATAGCCCAAGCCAGCCGATCCACAGCCCTGCGCTCCAGTGGGAGCTGGGAGGGCAGAATAGAGAGCTGGTGATTCAGAGTCACTGAAGACCAAGAATGAGCAATCAGCAGTCATGTGATCACTTGGTCTAAGAGCCAGCGGGGGACAGCTGCACCATCGGACCGATGTATGCTAATTTTTTGCTATCCCACACTTCTCCTTTAAGGCCAGAAAGAAAATCTCTCGATAAGAAAGTTCACCCTTGAAACATAACAGAACATCGGAACTAACACTGGTGCACCCAAGCATCAAACTAAAGACATTTTAAAAAGAAGGCAAAGAAAACAAACAGAGACAATCTTGAGTCGGTTTTGATTGCTTGTAACATTGTAAAAAAAAAAACAAACAAAAAAAACCAAAAAAAAAATCTGACAATCTAATGGTCGGACCCGACAATGGTTTGCAATGATTAGAACACTTTTTTTTTTTTTTTTTACTTTAAAATAAAAGCGTATTAAAACCCATCTAAAATACTAGTAATGAATATGAAGAATAAAACATTGTTGAAAGCAAATCAAACCCCTACTTCTAAAGCCTAAACATAAAATTAAAATAGACTCAATATATTATAAATGAATTATTATTATTATTAGTTATAGTAATAACGGCAAGCTCTGGCAAATAAACCTTCCAAAGGGAAGAAAAGAGTTCTGGGTAAATTCCAGATGGCCTAGAAGAGGGATGTTGTCATCGCTGAGGTCTCCCTTCTTGTAGTTGCACGCTAGTGATGTCAGAGGTGGCCACCGATAAAGAGAAACACCAGCACAGTACTGCTGAGGATTGGTGACTGAATCAGGCACTGTATCGGGTCAGCAAAAGTCGATACTTTAAGGGCACGATGGCACTTATCCATTACACTGCAGTCTGGCATACGTTGCAGTGCCATACTTTGGACATCAAAATGCCTCGAGTTACACCAGCCTATTCGTGGACTGTCAATGCACACCAATGAAAGGAAAACCAGTCATGCACCTTTTTCTTTAATGCAAGGCAAGGTATGGGAGATGTATGAGTAGTAAGAAGCAGTGCAGGTCCATCAACATCCACTGTATTTCGTGCTGGGGTGTTACTCTAAATGTGCTTTGCGTTTTGGTAATGTGCGGTAAGGAGCAGTACGGCAAGAAAACATTTTGAAGCCAACCTAAAAGGCCCAGAAGGTGGGGCATTCACACAAAAGCCTGCCATGAAAATAAAAGGTTCTTACCCAGAAGCCTTTTCTACCATTCAACAGGGCTTTTTGCATACATTTTAAAAAGGAGGCACTGCCCAAAGTCTCCCTTGTTGCATTATAATGAAGCAAGACTCAAGCAGCATTAAAACAAAAAAAAAAAATGTAGTTCATATGATCAGAAGTTTGGCATTAAGCTTGATAAAGGTAGAGTCTACAAGGTTTTACTGCTTCCCAATTTTTAGAGTTTCTAGGGGACTCAATCTCTAGAGGTCTAAAGAGGTGAGTCCTCTGCAATGGCCTATGGACTCCACCCCCATTCACAGTCAAGATAAAGCCAGGATAAGGACATTTTCACCCTCCTGCACCCTCTATAATGTAAAACTGATGAATCTAGAGAATTAGGAAGTGAGAGAACCTGGAAACTGAGTGGTCAGAGTCTTTGAGAGATGAAAGACGCACCCAACAACAATAAAAGGTGCCTGATCATATGCCCTCATGCCGTGTGATCTTAACCTGGCTGTTCCAACAGTACAGATGATAGATAAAAGATACAACTGGTGAGGTTGGCATTTCACAGAAGTCTATGAACTGTTGAATCGATCAACAAGCTTGGTTCTGGACTTTTGCAGAGACTCCACATGTTGCTGATCTTCACTTTCGTCCTCTTTATCACGCCAGCTTTCCTTCAGCGGAGTCATATCTGGAGCTACTACATCACCATCCTGAAACAGATGTGCCAGGTTAATTTTAGTCAGGGGAAGAAAGGATGGAAAGTGGTAAAAGGCTAAAAACAGATAAAACACAAGTTGCAATGTTACAACTAAAGAAAAACAAAAATCCACCAGGAATTCTATTTTGGCATGCCAATATAAAAGCCTGAAATGGCTAAACAGACTGTATCTAATCTAATCGAATGGGCCTGTGAAGCACTCAAACCCTTTTGACGTTTTTTTTTTTTTTTTATACTGTAGAACATTTATTCACAGTAGAATATTTTTTTTTACTGATCAACAAAAAGAATGGAAAAAAGATCCTTTACAAAAGTGAATTAATTATGATGAAAAGGCTGAGTCTATCATGTTAGCCATTATTATTATACAGGATTTATATAGCGACAACAGTTTGCTAAGCGCTTTACAATGTAACAGGAATATATTGTAGAAAATTTGGAGCCAAAAAAGTGTATGTAAAGCCTATGAACTTCTCGTTTGCTCCCATTAATACACCAATAAAAGCATTTTGTTTTCTATCTGATAAGTGCAAAGAACCTTGCTGCGATTGTTGGATATCCAAAGACAACTCCTGTGTTTTGGCAAGAGGCTCTTTAGCCCTCTGAGTTCTTATCTTGGATAACCAAAGAATTAGCTCTTTTTATTGTAGAGATCTGAGAGCGAGTACAGCTGAGTACTCACTCTCAAAGGACACAAAGCTGTCAGCCCACAACAGGACTAAAAGCAGTAAGTGCATTACTGGAAGATCAACAGGTATTTCTCTGTACCTGTACAGTCTTTAAAGTGTTACTAAACCCACAACAGTAAAATCAGTCTGTATATGCAGTAAAAGCATGCTTGTTATACTCAATGTGGAACCTAAGGGGTTAAACCTCCACATTGTGTAAAAAGGCTGTTTGATCCTGTCTTCTCTGATCCTTTCCTTCTGCTACTGTCCCCAATCCATCTGCTGATAGTACAGAGCTTGAGGAGTCACTCTGTACATACTCAGCTTTGTGTGTATAGCTAGAGTGTTTTTTTTTCCTGGGGGGGGGGGGGGGGAGGTTGCATGTGATTGGCACAGGACCAATCAGCACTGTCCAGACAGAGGGTCAGGGGTCATGCAGCCTCATAGGACAGTCAGAGCAGAATTAAAACGCCTATAAGTTGTAGCCAGTGCTTAGCATCCCAATGATAGAAGTCACAAGACTGCTATATACTGCTGTTGAAAAAAGATATTTAGCAGTTTATATTTAATAAAAATAACTGCATTTCCATGTTGTGTGTACTGTGGGAGACCAGATATAGTGAATGCAGGGTCTTGGGTTTAGTAACACTTTAAAGGGATAAAACTCTGGGAAATGTACATGTGGTGCAGAGATGTACTAAATATTTTTTTTTAAATTTTGCCTTGACAAACTTTTAATAGACTCTTAATTTGCTAACAGTTTTTTTAAAAAGATGCAAGCTTTTAAGTCCAGTTAGGTCCCTTTTTCATGCTCTGAAATGGTTCTGTAACCCACAAATTTACACAAAAGACTTACAAGGAGCAATGAAATACAACTGCTAATAACACATTTTTGTTTCTTAACACAAGTCAGATAAAGATTTTTAATGAGTCAAACAAATACACTGGGCACTCTAGGTCCAACTCGGCAGTCCTCCACAAAATGGGAACATCCCTTTAAGATGGGGGAAAAGCTCAGACCTAAGAATCCTCATTTATGCAGTCCAATGAGAGGTTTTTCATTTTACAAATGTTTAAAGTTTTTAATGATCACATTTCTTGATCTTATTTTTTCGTAATAAAAATGGAAGAAAAAAAAAAAAAGGATATTTTCTACTTTCAGTTAGAAAAAAAATATCCAAGAAAAAATATCCAATAAACTCAAAGTTAATCATAAATTTAGGCCAAAATGTATACGGCTACATGTCTTTGCTAGAAAAACAATATGTGTATATTAATTGGTTTGTGTGAAAGTTATAGCGTCTACAAAACTATGGTATACATTTTGAAATTTAGGCAGCTTTTACTTTGACTGCCCATCACATTTCTTGAGGTGCTAAAATGTCAGGGCAGTACAAAAAAAACACCCAAATTACCCCTTTTTGGAAAGTAGACACCTCAAGGAATTTGCTGAGAGGCATGTTGTGTCCATGGAAGATTTTATTTTTTGCCACAAATTTTTGGAAAATTAAAAAATATTTTTTTTTTTTTATTTTTACACAAAAGTTTTTACTTAAATGATATATTGCTCACACATGCCACGGATATATGTGGAATAACACCCCAAAACACATTCTGCAACTCCCCCCGAGTATGGGGCATTCCACATGTGAGAGATTTTTTGGCAGCCTAGCTGCATACAGGCCCCGAAAATCCAGTGACCACCTCCAGGCTTTCAAAAGGGCATATTTCCTCATGTCACTTCCTCACTACCCATCACATTTTTGGTGGCCCTAAAATGCCAGGATAGTCCAAACACCGCCCCCCCCAAATGACCTTTTTGGAAAGTAGATAACCTAAGGAATTTGATAAGAGGCATGGTATTATGCAGATATAATTTTTGTTACAGGGTTTTGAAAAAGAAAAAATACATTTTACTTTTCTTTCTTCATTTTCCAAAAACTTGGGCAACAAATGAGATCTGCAAAATAATCACTATGCCCCTTAGCAAATACCTTGGAGTGTCTACTTTCCAAAAAGGGGTCATTTGGTGGGATGCTTCTACTGTCTTGGCATTTCAAGGCCAGCATTACAAGCTTATGCCACACATCCCTCACTCTTCTAACACCTTGAAGATCAAGCCTTTTCTGACACTTTTTGTTTACATGAAAAAATGTTTTTGGAATACCACTTTTTGGAATTTTAATGTACAAAAAAAAATATATATTTCCCAATTGTTTTATACAATACAAAAGTTGTTGGGTCAAGTAAATGGATACCATTTACTGAAGGGCAAAGAATGGAGGGGAATAGAATAAGCAGCTTGAAAAAGAGCCCGTTTTTTGGGATCCAGCCATCCATCCATCCTTTATATCTAGAGAAGCGAGTCTCCTGTAAGCAGACATCCTCACCTACTCATACCTTAAAGCAGTGCTTCTCAAATAGTGGGGCGCGCCCGAGGCTCCGTCAAGGGGGGCGCGTTTTTTTGACCTCGGGGAACATATCGTATTTTCCGGCGTATAAGACGACTTTTTGACCCTTGAAAATCTTCTCAAAAGTCGGGGGTCGTCTTATACGCCGGTATACGTTAGGGTGGAACTTTTTAGGGGGCGGCGCGGTGCCGCCGCCGCCCCCCCCCTTCCGACAGAAGGGACACCAAGTACAGGGGTGGGTAGAGGGCTGCTGTCTCTTACCTGGCTCCCACGATGATCCATCCAGGAAGCGCTGCTCCTTCCGTCACTCCGGCCACTCCCTCACTCCTGCCGCTCGGCTTCGCCTCCTCACCGGTGATTGGCCGCCAGAACTGTAGCTCAGGAAAGGTACACAGGCGGCCAATCACGGGCGAGGAGGCGGAGCCGAGCGGACCCGCGAAAATTGAGTGAGGGAAAAGCCGGTAAGTGTGCAGTGCAGAGGTGCTGCTGCAACCACATATGTTGGCTGCAGCAGCACCATACTGCAACAGGGGTCAGCAAGTGTCATTGGTGTCAGTGAGAGGAATAGTGCCGCATCATTGGTGTCACTGATACTAATGATGGGGCATTATTCCTCCCACTGACACCAACGATGGGGCACTATTCCTCCCACTGATACCAATGATAGGGCACTATTCCTCCCACTGATACTAATGATGGGGCATTATTCCTCCCACTGACACCAACGATGGGGCACTATTCCTACTTATAACAATTTTATAGACAAATGATACTATTTACAGTCGCGCGGGGGGGCGCAAAATGTTTTCTTCTTCCTGGGGGGGGGGGGCATGACAGAAAATAATTGAGAAGCACTGCCTTAAAGGGACCTCTGGCTACCTGGATCCATTTAATCTCCATTGGGCTCATAAGACCCTCACCCTGAGGGAGGATTACCTAAACCAGGGGTCTGCAACCTTTAAGACATAAAGAGCCACTTGGACCCGTTTCCGAGAGGGAAAAAAAGACTGTGAGCCGCAAAACCATTGCAACATTTAAAACAAATCCGACACTGCATATATTGCAAAAAGCGCTCTGGTCATGAAGGGGGTTTAAGAGCCCAGTAAGCAAAGGGTTAATCAGGGCCACAGTGTATCGTCATAATCACAATCATAGCCTTAGGACAGTGGTGGGCAACCTTTTTTTTCAACTGAGCCAAATCTCACCAAAACCACGATTGAAATTTATTTTGAGAGCCACATTTTTAAAACTGAAAATACATCCCCCATATAGTAATACATCCCCCATATAGTAATTCATCCCCCATATAGTAATTCATCCCCCATATAGTAATTCATCCCCCATAGTAATTCATCCCCCATATAGTAATTCATCCCCCATATAGTAATTCATCCCGCATATAGTAATTCATCCCCCATATAGTAATTCATCCCCCATATAGTAATTCATCCCCCCATATAGTAATTCATCCCCCATATAGTAATTCATCCCCCATAGTAATTCATCCCCCATATAGTAATTCATCCCGCATATAGTAATTCATCCCCCATATAGTAATTGATCCCCCATATAGTAATTGATCCCCCCTATAGTAATTCATCCCCCATATTAAGTCCCCAAGTCCCCCCTGTGTCAATTCACTTACCTTTGCTCCGCGCGTTCCTCTCGCCGTGTTCCTGCGCCGTTCCGGTGTAGCATGAAAATCTGTCTCCTATGAGGATCTGTCCCCCTCGACGTATCTGCGCATGTGCCAGTTCAGGCATTAGCAGCCGATCGGCGATCTCCGGCACATGCGCAGATACGTCGAGGGGGACAGATCCTCATAGGAGACAGATTTTCATGCTACACCGGTCTTCAGGGCGGACTGTGAGAGGAGCCTAGCGGGAGCCTAGCTCCGTGGGCCGGATTAAAAGGTCCGCCGGGCCGTAGTTTGCCCATTGCTGCCCTATTGCCTGTCACCTGGTGGGCAGTGTGCTCCGGAGCCGCAGCCAAGGTGAAAAACAGCCGCATGCGGCTCTGGAGCCGCGGGTTGCCGACACCCGACCTACACCCCTGACCAGACCTTTATCTGATAAGGAGACCCTGGATGTGATACTCAATGCGTATTCTAATTACGCATCTGGTGAGTGCGTAATTCTACTGTACCTCTTTGGAGCACCGCCACTGGATTTTAAGATTTCTCTTGCACCTTATATCCACAGACTGTCATTTATATAGAACTTTTACACTTATCGTCATTATCTATTGCTATTATCGTTTTTTATGAGGGATATTCATTTTACTATTGATTGATTATTTTAGTACTGCACTTCCCTTTTGTGATCTTGATGTATTTGCTTTTTGTGTGGAATGAACAATGACAGACTGTCAACAGTAGTGTGGCACTCTCATAGTTCTACATTTTGGGGACTTTCTTTGGGATATCCCTACAGAGAGCAGCCCTAAGCCCTTAACACCATATCCAATAATCCAGTATATTATAACGGAGTTCAGTGCTCCTACAGTGTACGCAATCCTGAAAATCCGTAGTGGTGATAGCCCACTTGTGTACAAAATCCTCTCCAAATGGGTACAAGGTGAATGCTACTGCTTGGGGGAGCAAACAGTCAGTGTGTTTGCAGTCTCTATAGAGAGTTGGAGCATTAGGTGGAAAGGAAAAGTCTTTGCAGCCTTGGGGGCTCTAAAAGACACAAAACTGGAACCAGCACTAGTAGGAGCAACAGGACATTTCTCTAGTTTCAGAGTTGCATGTACCGCATTGATAAGAGCCAAAATCGTATTCTTTATTTTGGGAGTAATAGCAGAAGATTGAACTCCTCCAGGATAAGCTCATCTCACAGAGACTGGATCTTTTAGGTCTGCCTGGAGATCAGCTTTAAAGCTGAATTCTATGTTTCCTGTCACTTTAAATGACAAGCTGGCCCAAATGAACTTTCTCCATTACCAAATGATTTGACTGCTGTGTGTTCTCTTATGTTGTGGTAGCATCGGCTACACCATACAGTATGTGGCACTTTGTTCCACAGCAGCATGGGCAATTTCCCATCTAATGTCGACACAAAAATGTAGTCAGCCTGAATTCTTTGAATGCCATTCAAAAGAAGCCTTGTAATTTTATTCATGAACACAAGGCTTCCTCTGATCGGCTGAGGTGGACATAGGACATCAGAGCAACACAGCGCTACGTATGGTATGTAGCTGATGCTGCTACTGTAGGATACTATGCACACAGAGGTAGAGTCTGTTATTAATGGAAGTTTTGCACACAAACTTTTTAAAGTGACAGGTATCATGAAATTCAACTGTAAAGTAGTTCACCCAAAACCTCACTAACGCTAAACCTGATCACAGCTGCATTCTAAAACTAATCTATCTAGCACGGTCAAGAAGAAATTGCTATATATACCTGTTCTGCAGCCGCTTCAGTCTGGTCCCACCCTGAGCTGTCAGTGGTAAGTGTGTACAGGAGAGGCAGTCTATGGGTGACGTCACTTTCCAGGCATTTCACAGCCGTTATCAGTTCTCTCCTGCACACAGCATCTGCTGCTGGAGACCGGACTGGATTGGCTTCAGAAAATGTATGTATAGTGATTTCTAGGGCTAGACAGATTAGTTTTAGAATGTGGCTGCACGTAGGTTTAGAGTCAGTCAGGTTTTGGGTGAACTTTTATGTTAACCGATTTCCCGCCGCCCTATAGTGGAACTACTGCTACAGGGCAGCAAGGCTGCATAAAATCATGTATATATACACACACACACACACACACACACACACACGATTTGCATTACCAGGTAGGATGCGTGTGCTGCCCTACCCATGCCACCATTGGCAGCTAGGGATGTCAATCACCAGGTCCCAGACGGATATTCCCCACCGGCACCCAGCGATCGTCTAGGAAAGCTGACAGGGGAGAGACCTGTGTGTAAACAACACAGGTCTCTCTCCTGCCAGCAAGGACATGCTGCTTTGTATCTCTCTGCACAGCAGAGAAATACAAAGCAACATGTCGCCTTAGTAAAACATACACAGCACATAATATTAAACAGCACACGGTTAATCCTTTGATCACCCCAGATGTTAACCCCTTCCTGCCCAGTGTCATTAGTACAGTGTCAGTGCTTTTTATTAGCACTGATCACTGTATCAGTGTCATTGGGATGTCAGTGACAGTTAGTCAGTTCCCATTCGGTGTCAGAATGCCCGCCAAAGTCCCGCTATAAGTCGATGATTGCCGCCATTACTAGTATAAAAAAATACATAAAATTTCTAATATATATGCCACCATTTGTAGACGCTATAAACTTTCACGTAAACCAATTAATTTACTTGTATTGTGATTTTTTTTTTCTTAGCAAAGACATGCAGCAGTATACATTTTTTTACTGGATAGGTTTTATAGCAAACAGTCCAAAATATTTTTTTTTCCCAAATTGTCAGTTTTTTATATTTATAGCGCAAAAAAAAACAAAACAAAAAAACAAAACAAAAAAAAAAAGAAAAAAACGCAGAGGTGATCAAATAACAGTAAAAGAAAGCTCTATTTGTGGGAAAAAAATGGGACATAGATTTAATTTATGTTCAGTGTTGCATGACCGTGCAATTTTAAGTTAAAGTAACGCAGCGCTGTATCACAAAAAATAACGGCCTGGTCAGGAAGGGGAGTAAATCCTCCGGAAGGCAAGTGGTTAAAGTCATCACGCACCTGCAACTGCATTTCCAATTACTACCCATAAGGTCTCATGCACACTGGAACGTTTTTCTGCTGCTCCATGTTTAGCGCTTAGACATTTATTCATTTCATTGGCCAAAGCACTGGCCTTTGAAATGAATAAACGCCCAAGTGCTAAACACTTCGAGTTTACATGCGTTTTTGCCACATTGAGCAATTTTTGGCTAAAATGTTCCTCTTCTGAATGAGATTCATGTATGTTCAGGAGAGGACCGTTTCACTGGCCCTAGAGGCTGCTGCTGTTAAACTCTGATAAAAGTCTGTGTGTGCATGGACACGTAGGCTTTTATTGAGTTGAAATCAGGGGCTTTGGCAAAAAAAAAAAATAATGTCAAAAGCTCTTGAACTCATGTTCATAAGCAGTGTGCATGAGGTCTAATTGTCCACTCAATGAGGAAAATCCAGTGCAGGAGCATGTCACCATAGTTTGTCTTTGTGGCTTTGGCAGTTGGGAAAAATTTAATTTCTGGCCTTGCCTCTTACATCCCCGAGACACAAAATGCCAGAAAGTACTCAAACTTGCCAGTAATCTCACAAAACTGAATTAGCTTTTGATTCCAGCAAATACTACAAACAAATCCACATACATGATCTGCAAAAAATGGTTCAATACTTTATGTTTTTTACATGTGAAGTTTGTATTGCATGTAATAGAGATTAAAACAAACAGCCAAAAGCTCCATTGTAATCACAGACCTGAGGTTTGGAGAAATCTCGGTCCATGCACCATTGCACAAAATATCTCTTGGCAGCCTCCAGGCTCTTCTCGTCCATCCTCTTACAGTAAACACGGATTATCTGTTCAGCAAACTTCTCTGGCAAAAGCTGAGACACCTGGGGGATGTCAAGTAACAAATCTCAGGAGAGAAAGTCACATATTACAAAAGTGTGACATGTTATCACATTTACACTCTTTCTGTAGTACACTTTATTCCAACATTTCCCATATGTGCACATATATTATGGCGAAACACATTTAAACGATAACTATATCTTTTGAGTACAGTAATCTGTCCTAAATACCCATCACTGACCCCCGATTAGATCAACCCATTTTCCAAACCGTGACCTCGGCTAGTTACTTTAGGACCTATGTCGGTGGGCTTTTGCTCATGTCAGAACTGTTTCAAGCCAAAAGAAACCCAAAAGCAGATTGAAGCAGCTTAGGAGGTCAGATGGAAGGCCAAGTGAGTCCAAATGACCTACGAAGTGTCAATGTAGGCTGAATGCCCTTTAAAGCCAGCTACATTTGCACAGTGACACTAGCTCCAAGTAGTACCGCACATGAGTGGCTCTCTCTAGTACAAGGAACAATGGAGAATGTCTCTTTGCTACCTCAAGAAGCAATTGGTGGGCGAGAAGAGGCTAGCTGGGGACAACGTATATCAAGTAATGTTGGCTTAACAACCACAGATAGATGGAGTCTCCCATGTTTAGGTAGAATTATGTGAAACAATTTGTCCTATTCTACAAGACACTCATTAATTGTAATTCCTGGAGAATGAATGAGCCAACTATTAGCTGATCAATTGCGCTGCCTACAAATGGAATCTGACACTGACATCAGAGACACACTTATACTGTACTTATTCTCGCTTGTAAGTGCAACTTACACTTGTTTTTAATTTTTCTAATAAACCTGGGGTACTACACTGTGGTCTGCTTGGCGCCCCTTTCTCTTCCTTCTTGTGTTTGCAACCACTGGGTTCCCAGCCTGATGTAGGAGGCAACTTTGCACAGCCTGTATGTAGATAGTTACTTAGCAGTAGTTGCTCACAGCCCCTATGGATTAAGCTCAGCGAAGCTGTCCCCCCTCTACAATCAGTGTGTTTTTTTAGTGCTACGTTTGTCTGTTTTGTGCCATACAAAATTTAATTTGTGCTGCTTTTATTTTTAAGATATTAGCAATTTTTTTTTTTTTTTTCCAGATGATGACATCACCCAGCCCCCCTACAACAGCCAAAAGACATGAAACCAGGCTGGTGATACAGGATCATCTTTGCGTACAATCATGCATATAATCTCACAGTTTGGACATTATTCAGGGCTACTAATTAACTGGTCTCTAAATTGGTGCTGCTGCCACTGGAAGGGGTAACTGATCCAGCGGTGCCTACTTTTTTGTCCAGTTATTATAACTTCCTTTAAATACCTGGGTATTCTCATTAGCGTCAATTTACTAAATTATTGTCGATTAAATGTAGCTCCATTTTTGACCCAATTTAAAGATAAGGTTAAGATACGGTCCAAATTCTGATTATCTTTGGCAGGTAGAGCGAATCTTATAAAAATGATATTTATGCCCCAATTGTTGTACTTTCTTCATAACTGGCCAGTCATAATTCCGCTGAAAACCTTCTCAGTCATAAATACCATTTTTCACTCATTGCTTTGGGGGGTGGGCCAACTGCCTCGGATACGAATGAAACACTTGCAACGTCCCAAGGATAGACGGGGGATAGCTTTGCCCAACCCCTGGTTGTACTACTTAGCCAGCCAACTGCAGCATCTATATAAAAGGTATTGTAGAAAGAGGTGCTGACTGTGCTCCGGTTGATGACTCTACTCTAAATGTGATGCTGCATTGCACAGCCTCTAGCTCCTTGCCGGAGGGTCTTGAGGCTCAATCTTTTTGCAAACCAAATAAATCCTTTCCTACATATTGCCTAATGCAGAACATTTGGATTAAGGTTATGCAGTTGCAGCAGATTATGGGCCATACTGCCTATAGTCCCATATGGATTAATGCCCACATTGCCTGAACTAGTCAAACTACAATATGTCTCTAAATGGAAAGCTTATGGGAGAACTCACTTAAAGCATATATTTAACAATGGTCAACTTATCTCCTTTGATATATTGAAGTCCAGATATAATTTACCATCTAGAACAGGGGTCCTCAAACTGCGGCCCGCCGAGCACATTCATCAGGGAACACTAAGTACAGGGGGTGGGCAGGGGCTGCTGTCTCTTACCTTGCTCCAGTCCCACGACGATCCAGTCCAGGATGCGCAGCTCCTTCACTCCGGCAGCTCCCTCACTCGATGTCTGCGCTGCCGCTCGGCTCCGCCTCCTCACCGGTGATTGGGCGCCAGTACTGTAGCTCAGGAAAGGCACACAGGCGGCCAATCACCGGCGAGGAGGCGGAAACCGAGCGGCCCCGTGAAAATCAAGGGAGGGAGAGGCCGAAGTGAAGGAAGGAGGACAGCTGCTGACCACCCGGTAAGTGTGCCGTGCAGATGGTACTGCTGCAACCAGGTATATGCTGGCTGCAGCAGCACCATGCTGGAACAGGGGTCGGCTAGTTAAGTGTCATTGCTGTCAGTGGGAGGAATAGTGCCCCCATCATTGGTGTCACTGATAATAATGATGGGGCATTATTCCTCCCACTGACACCAACGATGGGGCACTATTCCTCCACTGACACCAACGATGGGGACACTATTCCTCCCCCCACTGACACCAACGATGGGACACTATTCCTCCCCCCACTGACACCAACGATGGGACACTATTTCCTCCCCCCACTGACACCAACGATGGGACACTATTCCTCCCCCCACTGACACCAATGACTTACTATTCTTCCCACTGACACCAATGATGGGACACTATTCCTCCCACTGACACCAATGATGGGGCACTATTCCTCCCCCCACTGACACCAATGACTTACTATTCCTCCCACTGACACCAATGATGGGGCACTATTCCTCCCACTGACACCAATGATGGGGCACTATTCCTCCCACTGACACCAATGATGGGGCACTATTCCTCCCACTGACACCAATGATGGGGCACTATTCCTCCCACTGACACCAATGATGGGGGCACTATTCCTCCCACTGACACCAATGATGGGGCACTATTCCTCCCACTGACACCAATGATGGGGCACTATCCTCCCACTGACACCAATGATGGGGCACTATTCTCCCACTGACACCAATGATGGGGCACTATTCCTCCCACTGACACCAATGATGGGGCACTATTCCTCCCACTGACACCAATGATGGGGCACTATTCCTCCCACTGATACCAATGATGGGGCACTATTCCTAACACTGACACCAATGATGGGACACTATTCCTCACACTGACACCAATGATGGGACACTATTCCTCACACTGACACCAATGATGGGGCACGATTCTTCCCACTGACACCAATGATGGGGCACGATTCTTCCCACTGACACCAATGATGGGGCACTATCCCCCCCACTGGCACCAATGATGGGGCACTATCCCTCCCACTGACACCAATGATGGGGCACTATCCCTCCCACTGACACCAATGATGGGGCACTATCCCTCCCACTGACACCAATGATGGGGCACTATTCCTCCCACTGATATCAATGATGGGGCACTATTCCTCACACTGACACCAATGATGGGACACTATCCTCACACTGACACCAATGATGGGACACTATTCCTCACACTGACACCAATGATGGGACACTATTCCTCACACTGACACCAATGATGGGACACTATTCCTCACACTGACACCAATGATGGGACACTATTCCTCACACTGACACCAATGATGGGACACTATTCCTCACACTGACACCAATGATGGGGCACGATTCTTCCCACTGACACCAATGATGGGGCACGATTCTTCCCACTGACACCAATGATGGGGCACGATTCTTCCCACTGACACCAATGATGGGGCACTATCCCCCCCACTGGCACCAATGACGTACTATTCCTCCCACTGACACCAATGACGTACTATTCCTCCCACTGACATCAATGATGGGACACTATTCCTCACACTGACACCAATGATGGGACACTATTCCTCACACTGACACCAATGATGGGGCACTATTCCTCCCACTGACACCAATGATGGGGCACTATTCCTCCCACTGACACCAATGATGGGGCACTATTCCTCCCACTGACACCAATGATGGGGCACTATTCCTCCCACTGACACCAATGATGGGGCACTATTCCTCCCACTGACACCAATGATGGGGCACTATTCCTCCCACTGACACCAATGATGGGGCACTATTCCTCCCACTGACACCAATGATGGGGCACTATTCCTCCCACTGACACCAATGATGGGGCACTATTCCTCCCACTGATATCAATGATGGGGCACTATTCCTCCCACTGACACCAAGGATGGGACACTATTCCTCCCACTGACACCAATGATGGGACACTATTCTTCCCACTGACACCAATGATGGGACACTATTCCTCACACTGACACCAATGATGGACACACTATTCCTCACACTGACACCAATGATGGGACACTATTCCTCACACTGACACCAATGATGGGGCAAGATTCTTCCCACTGACACCAATGATGGGGCACGATTCTTCCCACTGACACCAATGATGGGGCACTATTCCACCCCCCCCACTGACACCAATGACGTACTATTCCTCCCACTGACACCAATGATGGGACACTATTCCCCCCACTGACACCAATGATGGGACACTATTCCTCCCAATGACACCAATGATGGGGCACTATTCCTCCCACTGACACCAATGATGGGGCACTATTCCTCCCACTGACACCAATGATGGGGCACTATTCCTCCCACTGACACCAATGATGGGCACTATTCCTCCCACTGACACCAATGATGGGGCACTATTCCTCCCACTGACACCAATGATGGGGCACTATTCCTCCCACTGACACCAATGATGGGGCACTATTCCTCCCACTGACACCAATAATGGGGCACTATTCCTCCCACTGACACCAGTGATGGGGCACTATTCCTCCCACTGACACCAATGATGGGGCACTATTCCTCCCAGTGACACCAATGATGGGGCACTATTCCTCCCACTGACACCAATGATGGGGCACTATTCCTCCCACTGACACCAGTGATGGGGCACTATTCCTCCCACTGACACCAATGATGTGGCACTATTCTTCCCACTTACACCAATGATGTGGCACTATTCTCCCACTGACACCAGTGGTGGGGCACTATTCCTCCCACTGACACCAATGATGGGACACTATTCCTCCCACTGACACCAATGATGGGACACTATTCCTCACACTGACACCAATGATGGGGCAAGATTCTCCCACTGACACCAATGATGGGGCACGATTCTTCCCACTGACACCAATGATGGGGCACTATTCCACCCCCCCCACTGACACCAATGACGTACTATTCCTCCCACTGACACCAATGATGGGACACTATTCCCCCCCCACTGACACCAATGATGGGACACTATTCCTCCCAATGACACCAATGATGGGGCACTATTCCTCCCACTGACACCAATGATGGGGCACTATTCCTCCCACTGACACCAATGATGGGGCACTATTCCTCCCACTGACTGACACCAATGATGGGGCACTATTCCTCCCACTGACACCAATGATGGGGCACTATTCCTCCCACTGACATCAATGATGGGGCACTATTCCTCCCACTGACACCAATGATGGGGCACTATTCCACCCACTGACACCAATAATGGGGCACTATTCCTCCCACTGACACCAGTGATGGGGCACTATTCCTCCCACTGACACCAATGATGGGGCACTATTCCTCTCCCACTGATACCAATGATGGGGCACTATTCCTCCCACTGACACCAATGATGGGGCACTATTCCTCCCACTGACACCAGTGATGGGGCACTATTCCTCCCACTGACACCAATGATGTGGCACTATTCTTCCCACTTACACCAATGATGTGGCACTATTCTTCCCACTGACACCAGTGGTGGGGCACTATTCCTCCCACTGACACCAATGATGGGACACTATTCCTCCCACTGACACCAATGATGGGACACTATTTTGCTCCATAAAAACACACTTGGGGGGAAATGTTTGTGCGTCTTATAGAGCGGCCGGCCCAGTATTCCCACCGCCGTTGTATGCCCGCAGTCTCTGAACAAATGCGGACACAGTACAGGAGATGACCATAGTTTTTTTTTTTTTTTTAAACTATAGTCCGGCCCTCTAACGGTCTGTGGAACAGTGAACTGGCCCCCTGTTTAAAAAGGTTGAGGACCCCTGATCTACAATATTATTTTACTCCATGTAGTTAAAACATGAAGTCACTGCTCAAAGTACATCAACCTTATGGCACTCCTCTCCTACCCCTATTTTTAATTACTTACACTCTGCTACGACGACCAGGGGGCTGATCTCTCGCTGCTATAACATGCTTCTGACGGACTATCTTGAAAAATACCCAAATAGGGTTAGTGGGCAATGGGAGCGAGATGTTGGGACTTTTGAGGATGACCAGTGGGAAGCTGCATTGCAGTCAATCCATCTTAGTTCGTTGATGGGTCTCCCATTGCATTTATCAGTTGTATATTGTACTTAAAGCTCATTACACTCCAGCAAAATTGTGTATGATGGGGCTACTCCAGGACCCCCTATGTGGCAGATGTAAACGGGACCATGGGGACCTGATTCATATGCTATGGCGATGCCCAAGACTTCATAGGTATTGGGAGCAGGTGGTTACTACTCTTAATTTGGCGTTTCAAACTAATCTAATTCTAGATAGTAAGCAATGCCTCTTGGGTATCTTAGATTCTGTAACGCAGCATACATTTATATTAGAAGCCCTTTCCAAGGCCTTGTTCCAGGCGCGCAAGGTGATTCTTGCGTGCTGGAACTCAGATACTCCTCCCACTGTAGCTCACCCGAAGCAAAATATAAGAATCATTCTACTATATGATTGTTTAATTTACTAGCATCGTGGATGCTCGGGTAAATTTGAGAAACTTTGAGACGCATGGTTGGCCACTCCAGGTTTAGCCCCTTTTGATCTGATAATGCTGCTGAAATGGTTTTCAAATATAATCTGGTTGTTACTTTATAATGCCATCCTATGACCCTTCTGAATTGATTGGTGGAGGGAAGGGTACCCTCTGTTCCCCATGGGTCCATTGTATTGGGGATACTCCTATTGTTCTGAATGTGTGGAAATTACTATGTGATCTTATCGCTTAATGACAAATGTAAATCTGCAGAAACTATTGGATTTAATGCATAACTGGTAACACTGGAAAGTTTCCTTTCTTACATTGTTCTTTTTGTTAATGAATGATTCTTTGGTATCATTCTTTGTGATCCTTTATTTTGATATTTGTATGACTTAAACATTAATAAAGATTATCCTTGACTTAAAAAAAAAAAAAAAAAAAGAACAAAATCTGAATGTTATTAAAACAAGAATTTTAGAGCCAAATTCTACAAGTATAGGGTATATGGCCAGCTTTAGATTTTTTTTTTTTTTTTTCATTTTACAGATCTGTGTGTGTGGTATCTTATCTTGTGTAAAGTACAAGAAACTAGCTTCTTTATCAAGCCTTTTGATCCACAGGCTTGCCACCCCCTGGCCTTCTAACAGTTTAGGACAGAGCAGATACCTATAACAGATCTATTTACACAATTCTAAATAACCTGACAAAGGCATCCCTGAGAGGTGCAATATAATGTCTCCAGAGGTGCAATAAAGTGTCTGCAGACTGTATACACTCAAAAGTCACTAGACAAACACAACTGGCCTTGAGGTTTCCTTTTGTTTTTTAAAACAAACAAGGTTAGAAAAATTCCATCACAGGATGACATGTTGAAAAGAATATTTTCTAAAAACACATGAACAATGGTTATACGGGAAAATACAGAAAAGTTAGAAATCTTGTATGACCCCTCTACCAGGATACAGTTGGGTAGGGAGTGCATGTAGAGTGTTCAAAGACCGAATACTTTCCCAATTAAACAAGTATCTATTGGGAGGTGAGAATTCCGATATGATCCATGTTTGACTAAAGTAGGGTATATACAGACCGAAAAATCAGCCGTTCCAACAGAAGCTATCTGACTTTCGGTCTGTGTGCTCTGTTGTCTAAAGGCAGGCTTCGATCAAACGGTCATGCAGGAAAACCAGCATTCAATCAGCACTTGTAGCCAATGGCTGCAAGTGCTGATCTGTGTATAGAATACAATAGTGTGGCTTTTTTTGCGCTGATACAGAGATCTGTCAAATTTTTTTTTTTTTTTTCCATTCAATCTGTTGGTTGAAAGAAAATATACTTCATGTGTACACCCAACCTTAAGCCCACCTCAGATGCGAGAGTATTAGAATTTTTTTTTTTTTAGTGATTTCTCATTTTCCTACTCCCAGTTTTACCTGTAAGCATTAAAGCAAAATGGCTAAATATAAAAATAAAATATGTATGTTACAGTTTTATCTACTAGACGATATGCAATTGACATCTGTATTTCCTATTTAAGCAATTCAGCTTTCAATGTCATCATCCCCACCTTCTGATTGGACACTGAATCATCATCCCCACATCTGTCAAGTGAGCTATGCATTTGAACCATGTACTTGGCTGTTTGACTGCACGTCCACTTCAAAAATATATTAAAAAGTAAACTGAAAAAACATTAGGTCACATTTATTCTTGACAACATGGTTCATGGTCCACTCACTACTCGCAGAACACATCACTAGTGTGCAGCTATATGGGGCAAGGCCAGATTTACCATAAGGCACAGCTGTCAGAGACAGTTTCTTCCGATTGTCTGTAGAAAAAAGTTCTCATGGAAGCTTCTCTATACATTTAAACCAAATGGGTTAAGAAGATCAAGGGTTAACAAGAACATATTCTGTGCACAAGATGTCATCCAAACATGAGGGTTTGTTTGGATACCAAAGTATGAGCTCAGCTCTAGCGATGGAAATTCAGCCCCTGAGGAGACATAGTTTTAGCAACAGAATATTTCTAACACACCATAAAAAAAAACGTACCTGTTGTTTAGTGATTTTTATTGCCATGTCTGGATCAGACTTACAGTAAAACCGCACATTGTTGATTGGATTCTGCTCTTTCATTCCATAGTCCATATGAATCACCTGCATCAATGTTAAGTATAAAGAAATACAGGTCAATACAATAAGACTACCCTTGCATGCACCTAGGTGCCAAAGTTCAAGTGCTAGTGCCAGACAGGTGAGTACAATAGCTTTTCTACTGTAGGGACATGCAGTTCATTTTTTTCTGACTTGAGTACTTTGAGTGTCTTTTACATGCATATGTAAGATACCCTTAAAAAAAAAAAAAAAACATTTATATAATTTCAAATACTGAAATAATTTTTTACTTTGTGTGCTACCCTAAGGCCTCATGCACAGAATGCTGAAAGAAAGAAAAATTGTTTAAAGACAGATACTGCTGTAAATCTGATTTTCATTAAGCAAGGCCGATCTGCCAAACTTCTGCTGTGTCTGTTACAGGACCTTTGTTTGGATAAGTACTGTTTATTTACAGTATTGTGATGGATTTCAGAGTAAAAAAAAGAAAAGAAAAAAAACGGACTTACATCTACTATAAAATCATCTTCTTTGAGTTTGATGTCTGTGGTAGTAGATACAGGAATGGATTCTGCCAGTTCAGTTGCTAATTGGTCATATTCCTCCTGCAATACACAAGAACTACAGTGAAACTGATTCTCCATAAATATGGAGATGTAACAAATCTGTCAGCATAGCTTGGGGGGGATTTTGTTGATAAGACGGCAGCTCACCAGTTGTATTCTGTTGCTACTGTTGGGCTGTGTCTGTCCCACATATTTATACAGCTCCCTGCGCTCCACTTTCTGCAGAATCTCTCTGGCTTCTTCAAGATTGGGGTCGCTGGAGTACAAGATCTGTTGGAAAATGTTGTCTTTGGGAGGAAGAGAAAAGAGGAAATGAGGTGAGCCAAAAAAGTTTTCCATTGGAAATCCTGTGGAGTGTGAGAACATTGCATTATCTGAGCAATACAACATCCTAATATTAACAAAAATGTTTTCTAGCCAAAAAAAAAAGAAAAAAAGATGTAAATACACTTTGTGAGCCCCAAATGTTTTTGTAAACATTAACAGATATTACCTTGTAAAGGTATAAATCATCACTATGCTGTACATAGCCTGCACAAAGAGCTGAGCTGTGGGAGGGATCCAACAGGCCTCACCCAAAGGCTGTCAGCAAAAAACTACAGGAGGGAGCAGGGACAAGACCATTCGCCCTGCACAAACAGAAGTGACCAGTTTTCATTACATGAAGCTTCGGCACAGAGACAAAGTTTCACACTTGATTACTGCACACATCTGAAGGAAATGCACAAAGCGCAGCAAGATTCAAGGAAGAATACACATGGCCCTTGTATTCAGACAATTATTTGCTGATGTTGGAGATCACCTTTAATGAACAACTTGCAGTAATCAAAGTAAGGGCCTTTGGTGATGGGCTGTGTTATCTTCAAACAGGGATTTTACAGGAACGTAAAACCTACTTAAGTCCAAAGCCAGTTGACACAGGCCCTTAGACTGCCAACATCTACTTATACCACCATTGTTCTATTTGTGAATTTATCATATTACTCACAGTAGCAAGCATTCATTGGTCAATGCTGCAACCACATGACCAATTAGAAGCACTTCTGTCTAATGGGACACCTTCCCAGAAGAAGCCGCAGATGTGCTTCCCATTAGTCAGAATGGTCACATGGTTGCACTGAGCAATGAGAGCCTGCCATTGTGAACATTATGAAGGATATTCCCTCCAGGGCTGTGTACTGTGGTGTGTGGACTTCTACACTGGTAGCATGAGGCCTCATAGTCGCTATGTGCAGCATGGTCTGCAGTGGTGGCCAGCAGTTAGTTTAATTTTTCTTGAAAAGTTGAGCTTACCCCTTCAAGATTTATAAAGCTTTCCTTCTGCATTGCATGTTAACAAAATAAATATAAGACTGTCCTTAACCTTTCCATTGAAACAGGCATAAGGTAGCCTGAACAAAAAATACTAACAGATTCCTCCATCCACGCTATGCAACCTAGATGGATCTCCCGCTGTGACTTTTGTAGTTTGACATCTGACTCCACCTGAAGAGCGCTTGCATCCGTTGGATACAACTACGTTTTGGCTGACAATTTTTGTCAAGAGATGCCAGGTAGAAAGTCTAAGGACCACTTACTGAGTGAATTTCGGCCACTTCCTCAGAAACCGGTAAAAATGTGTAGTGTTAAGAAATGCTTGCATGCCACTTTCTCCCAAGAAACATCTACAAGTTAGGGAATATTAAGGGAAAAAACCCACCACACACTTTTTTAAAGGTATACTGTGTGAATCAAAACACATAAGTAGTAGGGTTTTCTCAAATTTGACTGCAAAAAGTGGAAATACACCTTAAGCTGAATTAGTGCAGGAAGCAATCTTTTTTTTTAGTCCGTGTCAAATACGTCCATGCTATACAGACCAAAGAGTGCAAAGGTTTCTAGAGATACTTGGTAACTCTCCTGAAAGGGCTCACCTGTGAGCTTGGTGTATGCCACCATGTCTTCTACAGATTCAGAGATGGTAAAGGTCTTGCCTTTCAACCCTTCTATCTTGATATATGGATCTGCTTTTATGAAGGCATCTGTAATCCTGAAGAAATAAGTAGAAGAGGAAAGGATCTCAGCAAAAAGAAATACATGAAGACATACAGCAAATATTGCTATCTGTAGGAAAGAATTTTCCAATCCAGCCCTCAATTACAATGCTTGTCTGGAAGACCTCTTCACAGAAATACCTAGCTCATGTGGTTCTGTTGTTACGCATTGGAGCCTTATGAGCTGCATTCTGCAGATCCAAGTCATTGCAAACTTTCTATTTTGTTTTTAGGTAATTGAACATTTAAACTTCCTCTTCAGGCAGAATCTGAAACTCAGGCAAGGCAGTAGGGAGCTCTCCTTCAAGAAATCTTTTCTTTTTGCTGGATTTTCCTGCATTGTGCTGCAAAAGACTAAAAGGCTGTCTAAGGATAGTGGAAGACCCATAGCATGCTGTGGCCAGGAGACTGGCCACCCTTCATTGCTCACTGTATACCTGGACTTGACTGGTCTTTTAAAGCCCAACTGTCACTTAGGAACAAGGCAAGGCACTTGATGTGAAAGGCATTGGCCACATGATGTGGAGCATTCTGCAGATCCCTCCTCCAGGTAGCTGAAAGCAAAGTTTTTCCAGCTGGGGAATAATTATATTAGCTTTACACAATGGAATACCAAAGCCCTGGAGCAAAGTGCTGCAAAAAGATGTGTATATGTATTGTGTCCATGGTTTATTGTGGCCAAAACAAAACCCTGGAGATGTGTTATGATGAGATGAAAGAGCCAGTTGGTTATCTAAAACAATGCAAAATTCTAATACGTAAGCTTTGAAATTATAATTGGCTACAGTTTCATACAATGAAAAGCTGAAAAATAAATACATAAATATTAAAAATATAAAGTGTGATCGCTTTACATTGTCTCAATGATATTGCTAACTTTGTGTTGGTACGCCCTCCGGTGAAGACAGTTCCGTGTGTGAAACATATCGTACAGGTTCCCAACCTCCTAAAACATATGAGAAAAGAACAAATAAATAATTGAGGAAAAAAAACTGTGTGTGTATAAATCTATCTACATACACACAAAAACTTACACGTACCTACATATGCATACATGAGGGAAAAAAAAAAAAAAAAAAATATATATATATATATATATATATATATATATATATATATATATATATATATATATATATATCGAGAGAGATTGATTATACACTCACCTGCCACTCTATTAGCTACACCTGTGTAATTGCTTGGTAACACAAATTGCTGATTAGCCAATTACATGGCTAAATCAGCAATCCATTTAGGCATCTAGACGCAGTGAGGACAACTTTAAGTTCAAACCAAGCATCAGAATGAGGGAAAAAAAGGGAACTTGAGTGACTTAAGTGGCATGGTTGTTGGTGCCAGACTGGTTGGTCTGAGGATTTCAAAAATTGCTGATCTACTGGGATTTTCACACACAACCATCTCTTGGGTTTACAGAAAATGGTCCAAAAAAAGAGAAAAAAATCCAGTGAGCGGCAGTTGTGTGCACAAAAATGGCTTGTTTATGTCAGAGGAAAATGGGCAGACTGGTTCAGCTGCAACATTTAGATGGCAGGGTAAGAATTTGGCATACACAACATGAAAGCATGGATCCATCCTGCCTTCTATTAATGGTTCAGGCTGGTGGTGTAATGGAGTGGGGGAGGTTTTCATGGCACTAGCAAGGTGCACCTAATAAAGTAGCCAGTGAGTGAGTGAAAATATATTATATTTATTATATTATATTACACACACACACACTGCTCAGTATAAGGAGTACACCCCCTTTTGAAAAGTAGAATTGTGATTAATATTTCAGTGAACACAAAGGCAATTTCCAAAATTTTGAGTTTTATAGAACATTTGGTTAGCTCATTACAGGAAAGTAAGGTTAATAATATAAGTTAGATTACAAAACCTTCAGTTTTACTCAAATTAGTTGATGCAAAAACAGATACACTTCACAACAACAAAAACTACTTTATCTAGTATTTTTTGTATGACCGCCATGATTTGTAAGGACAGCATCAAGTCTTCTAGGTATGGAATGAACAAGTTGGCGGCATACTGCAACATCGATCTTTTTCCATTCTTCAAGAACGACCTCTTTTAGAGCCTGAATGCTGGATGGAGAGTGATGATCAACTTGTCTCTTCATAATTCCCCATAAGTGTTCGATTGGGATCAGATCAGGAGACATACTTGGCCACTGAATCACTTTTACCCTGTTCTCCTTCAGAAATATAACAGTAGACTTAGATGTGTATTTTGAAACATTGTCAAGTTGGAAAAGTGCACGACAACCAAAGGCAAGGAATGATGGTAGCATCTTCTCTTTCAGTATAGAGCAGTACATCTGTAAATTTATGATATCAATGAAATGCAGCTCCCTGACCTCAGCAGCACTCATGCAGCCCCACAGAAGGACACTGGCACCACCATGTTTCACTGTAGGCGACATGCATTTCTCTTTGTACTTCTCACCTTTGCAACTCCATACAGTTTTGAAGCCATCAGTTCCAAAAACATTTATCTTGGTTTCATTACTCAAGAGTAAAGAATCCCAGTAGCTTTTTTTGTCCACAGGCTTTAGGAGAGGCTTCCTTTGTGGAAGAAACCCATGCATGACATTCCTCTGCAGTGTATGCCGTTATGTGTCATGGAAAACAATCACCCCAGTTAGGCTTTCTACTTCTTTAGCTAACTGCAGTGAACTTGCATGGCGATTTCCTTCAACCCATCTCATCAGAAGACGCTGCTGTCGAGGTGTTAAATTCCATGGACGGGTTGGTCGTCTCTGTGAGATGGTTGCAGTTCCATCTCTGTTAAATTTTTGTATCACTTTTGCTACAGTATTCTGACTGATAAGTAGAGCTTTGCTGTTCTTCTTGTAGTCTTCACTTTTCTTTTGTAAAGAAATTATTTTCTTTCTCAGGCCTTGTGACATTTCTCAGCCATGATATGGTAAACTTTGTTAAGTAAACCCTTTTATAATCAACTGTCTGCTGGACACCTGTTTAATGAATAATTACTCATCTGTAGTTGAATTCTTGTTAATTAGGATTTTGTTGTCTAAAATTTAGCTTTGCTCCTAAGACTTTCATTGGGGTGCATTAATTTTTGTAACATGATCTTGAATTGGTTAGGAAAAATACTTGCCTTCTCCCGTGTACATATATGCTTCTTGTTGTCGACCTTACAGACTCTGACAAACTTGAGATATCGCTTATGATCAAAATTGTTTTGAATACCCAGGTGATGGCAGTCCCTGTTGGAAAAGCAGTGTGCATAATCAGACACAAAATTGCATTCATAAGGATTGGTAATGTCCTGTCAATTAGATGAACCATTTTCACACTTATAAAGCAATAAATTAACATTTTCAATGTATTAACGGGATAGTTTGTCAATTTAATGTGCAAACAATTATGATTAAGCTGGGATATTGATCAAAATTGGTCCACATACACTGTGTGCACAATTTTTAGGCAAATTAGTTCTTTGACCAAAATCATCATTTGAATGCATATTTTCCAACTCCAAGCTGTATACACTTGAATGCTTATTGAGCATATCAGGTGATGAGTATTTGTGTAATGAGAGAGGGCGTGACCTAAGGAGGTCAACACTTTCTATCAAGGTATGCATAATTAGGCAGCTTTTCCTCAGACAATAAAAAGAGATAACGGACTCTGAAAAGTCAACAATTGTAAAAAGTCTTTCAGAGGGATGCAGCACTCTTGAAATTGCTAAGATATTGGAGCGTGATCACAGAACCAACAAACGTTTTGTTGCAGTCAACAGGGTCGCAAACAACGTGTTGAAAAAAAAAAAAAAAAAAAAAAAACCTACCTGGAGTGCCCAAAAGTACAAGGTGTTCAGTGCTCAGAAACAAGGCCAAAGCTGAAACCCGACCACTGAACCTTGAACAAGACACATAAGTTAAAACATCACGACTGGGTCAAGAAATACCTGAAGACAGATCTTTTAAAAGGTTTTATGGACTAATGAGATGAGAGTGACTCTTGATGGACCAGATGGATGGGCCTGAGGCTGGATCAGTAACGATCAGAGCTCCACTTCGACTCAGATGTCAGCAAGGTGGAGGTGGTGTTTTGGTATGGGCTAGTATTATACACTGCTCAAAAAAAGTAAAGGAACACTTTTTAATGAAAAGTATAGAATCAAGTAAATTAAACTCCTGGGATATTGACATGGTCAGTTAAGTAGCAGAAGGATTTGTTAATAAGTTTCAACAGCTTGGGTGGACTACATGGGCAACAATGAGACCACCCCCAAAACAGGAATGGTTTCACAGGTGGAGGCCACTGACATTTTTTTCCACTAGTTTTGCATTTGGCTATTGTATCTCAACCTTTTTTCAGTAAAGGCACCCTTTAAAATTATGGACAGTCTTGAGGCACCCCATTCTAAAATGTGAAAAACTATTCTAATAGTGTTCTATAATGCAGCAACATCCACACATGTAGGACACCCAAAATTAGAGGTGATCTATTCTTCCAAAGCAATATACTTTTGCTCATTGGTACTGACCAGTATTCCATGGTTTCTCTAATCCCTCAGTTTTTCTCCATCACTGAACTGATGTGACCCCAGCACTGATGGAGAGGGGCAGGGGAGGTCAAATAAGGATGCTGTGCAGGCAGCTGACATCCTCCTTATCAACTGATGAGGTCATTGGTTGTCAGGACCCCAGAGGCTAGGTGGTCGTAATAGTGCACAATGAAAACCTGTGGCTTTGTGTAACTAAAAGACAGGCTTGTTCCACTAGCTGGCTTGTATACAAGACATTTTGCCAAGGCACCCCTGAAAAAACCCTCAAGGCACCGTGGTTGAGAAAGGCTGGGCTAGGGTCAGTGTCACTACTGGTAGCATGAGGCGATACCTGCGCCCTACAGAGGTTGCACAAGCAGTCTAACTCCTCCAGGATGGCACATCAATACGTGTCATTGCCAGAAGGTTTGCAGTGATTCCCAGCACGGTCTTAAGAGCATGGAGGAGTTTCCAGGAGACAGGCAGTTACTCTCGGATAGCTGGAAGGGGTCATAGAAGGCCCTTAACCCATCAGCAGGATCGGTATCTGCTCTTTTGTGCAAGGAGGAACAGGATGAGCACTGCCAGAGCCCTACAAAATGACCTCCAGCAGGCCACTGGTGTGAATGTCTCTGGCCAATCAGAAACGGACTTCATGAGGGTGGCCTGAGGGCCCGACCTCCTCTAGTGGGCCCTGTGCTCACTGCCCGGCGCATCCAGCACTGCTACAGCTGATCACATGACTAGATAAAAGGCCAATCACCGTGGCCTTTTACCACTGATACAGCAGATCACAAACTAAATACAGTTGCCGGTTATCGGCAGCACTTTCCTCACGCTGTCAAAGAATGAGGAAAGTACTGCCGATAACCGGCAAATATCACAGAGAAGATCTGCACTGATAATCAAGGCTCACTCATAATCAGTGCCCATAATTGCTGCATATCAGTGCAGCATCAGTGCCTCCTCGTCAATGCCCACCAATGCCACCTAATCAGTGCTGCCTATCAGTGCCCATCGGTGCAGGAGAAAAATTACCTGTTTGCAAATTGTTATAATAGAAAAAGAAAAATGTTTTTAACTTGTTTTCCTGAACTTGGACATATCTAGTTGACCTTTTCTTCCTACATTTTTTTTTAATTCTGTCTCTCAAGAGTGGGAATGCACCTACAATGTGAATATCAGACCCCTCCATGATTTCTAAGTGGGAGAACTTGCAAAATGGCAGTGTGTTAAAATACTTCTGTTCCTCACTGTATCCTCTTTATATTTATCACCACGGCTTCCAAAATGAAGATTGTGTCTTATAATGTTAGGAGGCTTTGCTTCCCTCAAAGACTGGGCTGGTTCTAGCAGGAACTGCGCCATCTGTCCCCAAATATTATTATTTTTACAGGAGACGCATTTCACTGCCATCTCCACTCCCCCTACCTCTTTAGACATTTGACCAATGGTATCACAGTATATCACCTATTTCTAAAGCAAGAGGGGTATCTATTGCGATTCTTAAATCTTGCCCCTTCTCCCTACATTCTGTACAAAGATCCAGAGGGCCACTTCTTTTTTCGCAAAGGCTCGATTCACGGCTGTAAGTATACATTTGCATCCATCTATGCCCCGAACTCCAGTACTCAATTTCCTGTCCACCACTTTTAAGCAGTTATCAACTTTCAAGAAAGGTTTGGTAGTTGTGGGGGGTGATTTTAATATTACCCTAGATTCCCAGCTTGGACACCTCCTCGGGTAAAACCCCTATCACCTTTCGAGCACTTAAGCATGTTAAAAGGCTTCTGCATGACTTGCACTTGGTGGACAGTTGGAAGATATCACATGCTTGGGTCAAGGATTTTATTTATTATTCCAAGACATTTGATACTTAAATCGCATTTTGACCTTATCTTTGTGGATCAATTCTACCTGAACAATGTTACTTCCTCCTCCATAGAGTATATCATGATCTCAGATCACTCCCCAGTGACAATTTCTATTTAAAGTAGACTAAAGCAGAACTAAAAAGGCAAAACTTTTCTTTTTTTCCCCATTTTGGATAGAGTAAGGGAGGGTTATAACCAGCCAGGTTTTTTTTTGTATTGCGCCAACTGTGTCCCATTTGGGAGAGTTCTCTTCACTTCCTGTCCCAGATCCAAAAGAGGAAATCCCTCCAAAGTGAGGGAATCTCTGGTTGTCACCAAGGTCACCAGAACTAGTGACCCCATAGAAAGACATCCAATCTACTACTGTTCTGGGGCAACCCAAAATGTAGGATATTTAGGAAATTTCAGTGATTACAGTAAACAATGTAAAGAAAGAGGGTGACACTCCCCAACAATGACATAGACAGCAATAAAAGCCTGACAGGTGTTCTAATCCCTCCCTACTCCACAAAAAAAAACACAAACAGGTTTTCCCTTTAGTTATACTTTAACCAACTGCCCTCCAGAGGATTTTCTCCCCTTCCTGACCAGGCAATTTTTTGTGATACGGCATGCGTTATTTTAACTGACAATTGCGCGGTCATGGAACACTGCACCCAAATGAAATTTACGGCCTTTGGTTCCCACAAACGGATCTTTCGTTTGGTGGTATTTGATCACCTCTGCAGTTTTTATTTTTTGCCTTATAAACAAAAAAAAGACCAACAATTTTGAAAAAAAAAAAAAAAAATATATATATTTGTTTACTTTTTGCTATTAAAACATGTCCAGTAAAAAAAAAAAATTAAAAAAAATCACATTTTATCATAAATTTACCGCGGAAGTGGTTAAGTAAGCAGATAATGCTACGCTGAAATCACAAACATTGTTATCGGCCTATTTAGTTCACATCTAAACTGCAATTCATGTCTCCATGTTATTCAGTAGGGAGGGTGTTCTGTAGTTCTAGCACATTTCCTTTCCTGAAGTGACAACACTGCTCCTTCATAGATACAGTGCATTAAATGTACTTGAATTGTCAGGAAGTGTTGCAGAAAGAAAACTAATGAGCCACCACATCGAAGGACATTACATGTTTGTTCTTGGGTTCAGATGCACTTAAGTGTTAATAGAAAATATTAAAGCAAATCTTGGCCACATATGTCTACTTTGAAGAGCACCCCAATAGCCTCAAAGTTCTATAACTCTGCAAACAGACTTCCAAATATCTGGCTTGCTCCCTGCTAGTCCTTTAATGTTCTGGACGGCATCACTGACCAAAAATGATTTTCAGAAAGCAGGAAGGAAAAGCCAGAACAAAATCTTTTCAGCATTGTAATTTGCAGCTCAAGATGTTCACAACAGTTGCATAATATGTCTTTTAGCGACTCCAAGAAATATGAGTACCTGGCAAAGTAGTCCCATTTATCCACATCAATGCCATTTCTTTTGTTAGCCACAATCTCATACAGGAAGCTTTTTTCTTCGGTTCGACCTTGGTAAGGCCACTCCCGAGACTAAATGTTTAAATGCACAAAGATTTCATCAGATGAACAAGGCAGCAGATAAAACAATAAAGCTATAAAACAAACATCATGAAAATAAATGTTACACATTAGGGCTTATTCACATGGGCATTAAAAACACAAAAGTTTAGATACGTACAGCATATAGTTTTGTACGCATCTAAAAGCAGTGCTATATGAGCTAATGGAGCTATACACACAGCTGTGTCTACTAACAAAAATGCGCACCGTGTATGACAGCGTACAAAAACATTAGGACACAGCAGTACCTGGTGCCATACACGTCTGCAGATTTCACGCATTATTGAGAATACTCACGTAAAGTCATTAGAAGAATTGAAGGAATCTGAAAACACACCCAAACACGGGTACTTTAGGTCTATAATTAGGGTGCATATTTTACAAAGGATATTTTGCTAGCTCTGACAAGAACCTGCAGAATATATGCATATGCCAATGTGATTGAAGTCTTAATTGAAGGTTTGTCTTCTTTCCTTCTAGCACTGCATTTTCTGACTATCATTTATTTCTTTATATGGACAATGCAATATTTCTTGACACGCTTAGATCACTTCACCTATGGCTGATGTACAAGGCTGCTGGTGCTGTGGTCTGTGAGAAGTAAGGAACAAGTAATCACTTGTAAGCTAGAATTACCCATTCACACACATTCATTGTGTTAACATATGTTACTGCAATGCACACTTGGCACTCCAGCACACTAAAGCAAGGCATCTACAGGGGTGTTGAAATTTTTGAAAAAACTACTTGTCCATGGACTAAATTGGTGTCCCAATCTACTTATCGCTCATGAAAATGTACGTGTCCTGATTAAGAAAAAATTTTTTTTTTTCTAACCGAAACCGTATTTAAATTTGAGGTGCTATATGGAATGTGTGGGGCTTTTAAAACTGAAAGGAGCTTTATGGCGACTTAAACGTTTAATATTTTTAACATTGCACTGTATATCTCCTCCTCCCCTCCCTGCCTGTCTCCAACACTGCATCTGGGGACTAGCAGGGAGGGGAGAGAACTTGCAGCACTGATTGGGTGCTCATCAGGAAACGGAAGTATCGGGCTTATCCTTTATTCCTTTCGCTGTCAGAGCCATTTTGCTCGTTTAAAAAAATAATTTAAGGCCTGAAGATTACACAAAACTCCAAAACGTGATATATTTTCTGAAAGGAGAGACCATAGAGAATAAAATAGCGGTAGTACCTATTTTTTATGTCACACGATATCAAAGGTCTAGGAAACACATAATTTCAGTAAAAAATACACTTAAGTTAATTTTAGGGCACAAAAAGCAATAAATGATCCAATTTTTTGTAAAATATAAAAGACAAGGTTGCATAGAGTGAATAGATATCCAATATGTCAGACATTAAATTTTCATGCACCCGTGAAACGGCAACAGACTTTAGTACAATATATTTTCTATAGTTGAGGCCTTTAAAGCTCTTTATAGGTAATCAGTTTAGCATTACGGAAGAGTCTGGTGCTAGAATTATTGCTCTCATTCTGGCTTGCACGGCGATATGTAACATGTGTATCATATTAGTCGTTTCCATGTGTAGGCGATTCAGCGTGTGCTTTTAAGTTTGTGTGTGCGTACATATGGGGGGGGGGGGGGGGGGGGGGGTTTATATGCTAGGGTGTAACTTACATTTTAAAAAAACTTTTTTTTTTTTTTTGTTTAAATCACATAGGGGACAAAAAGTCCCCTATGTGATGATTTTTTTGGTGACAGGTTCTCTTTTGCGAGGCATCCACGGTCTATAAGACCCTGCATGCCTCCCCTGTGCTCCACTGAATGTAATGCAGTGCACATTGGCCTGGATGGTCGGGAATTTGTGAATGGGGACCCGGAAGTGACGTTACATCACTTCCGGGGCAGGGCAAGAAGGGGAGCGGACGATTCCGCTCTTCTCTCTCCTCTATACCCACATCCCGACATACCGCCGGCACCCACTGACTGGTCCTGGGCCCACAGATGGGCAAGTGAAGCCCGGGACATATAAAAACGGCAGGGGGGCGGTGGCTGGCACTGTGTGTGGAAGCAATTGGGCAGCAGAGCTGCTGCCCGAATGCTTCCACCTGACAGATGAGCCCTGCTGCTTACCCGCAGCAGGGCTATAGGCATAAAGAAAAAACCTACCAGCCCGACGACTGGAACTACATGTCCCGGGCGTCGGGCGATATGAATTGCACATCCCTAATCTACATTGCAGCCAATACTCTACTATGCACTGTGGTGTGCAATGTCAAAAAATGGTGCAGGTCTGTTAACTCATGCTATTTAATTGGCTTCCTTAATGCAATGCACAGACTGAATAGTTATTTCAGATTTTACCTGCTAACATCTTTACATCTAAAGTGCAACATTTAAAAACCTGCAAATCTCCAAATAAAATAGATTTTTTTTCCTTAAGATTCAATTAATGAGTTAAATCTGCAAAGGATTTTATGATGCACTGAACTCTGTGTGATCCAAACATACCACAAAGAGAAGAAACACACTGTCAGGAATGGACTCGCCAATGGTGGTGGGACTCAACTGTGGGCTGCAGTACCAAGGCTGGCCAGCGGGTGCTCTCAGCAGCCAGAATCTCACTCCTGCAATCGGACCACCACCTGAAGCTGATTGCAGGAGGTGTATTTAAGCAGGACCAGGCCTGTGATCAGTGCCTTGGTGTATGTTTCCCATGAGCCCCTGTACCTGCATCCTGTCTGCTTCCTGCCTGATCCTGCTTTGATCCTGACTCTGAACAAACTCCACCTGTCCTGACCTTGGCTATTCCTGACCACTCTTCCGCTCGCTCCTGGTACCCTGTTTGCCCGTTTGCTACCGACCCGGCCTGCCCGACTACGTTTGATTTGTATATATGTTATCTGTTGGAGGTTGGGTTGTTTGCACTGTGTTATGTTTACCTTGCACTGCGTTTGTGTTGTTTAGTTTTAATAAATTGTCTTGTTTACTCTATACCTGAAGCCTGCGTTTCCCCTGTGTCAGTCCACGCACCTCTGGTCATACCCGGAGCCCTGACACACAGTACGTACAAGGCCCTGGGGAAGGATCCTCCATCCAATACTGCTCACCCCGATCTCTATGGTTAAAAAAACAAACATACGAAAACACATACCACAGTCCCACTTACTGAGGAACTATTCTGACTACAGTTGAATACATCTGCTTCAGAAGTTAAAGGGCCAGCAATCTGTTCCTCAATAAATTTTAGGTCGTCTTGCAAGCATAGACCATATTCTTTCATAATGCTCTCCAATCCATTGGACTGAATAAGGTGGTAAAACATCTTCACAGAAGCCGATTCATGCTGAAAAAAGGTCAACATGCATAAAATTAGTTTGTGTATGTCACTTAAAGCAGAACTTTACTCTCTCAATAAACACTATTTTTAATACTTATGCTGTTAGCATTAGTAAATAGATAGGAAGGTTTATTATATTTACTTGTTTAAAACATTTTTTTTTCTTTACATTTCTTCAGTTACTTCCTGGGTTGGTTTGCCCAGGCAAATGTCATACATCTCAGAAGTCTTCAGGTGGTGAAGGATTCTCAGCTTAGCACACCCTCCTGCCTGCATACCTGAGCTAAGGGCAGATGGATTCCAGAAAGTAAATACTACAGGAATCATTTGCTATTACTCAAGATGGTCATGGGTAGAAATGCTAGGGGTGTTTTAAAAGTGATTATTCAGCAACATTAAGCATAGAGACATGAATGGATGGGGGAGTTTGCTTTAAATAATAATTCATTAATAGCATTTCTGGCTTATAATGCTCAGATGCAGTGTAGTTACGCTTTAATTGAAACAAACATTTCCAAAACTGAGGGCTGCTCTCCAAGACTCAGAATGGGAAGGAATATAGTCAAATAACACAGAACAGAAATGGGAATGTATAAAATCAACTGTATGCAAACACACTGTTAAATATATTTCCATGAGCAACACGTTTTAAACGACTAAGGTCTGAGCATTTAAGCCCTTTACAAGGTATTTTAGAGCTGATGACAGGGGACAAAGAAGGTACAATTTATTAAATACCTTCTTCAACTCTGAGTATTCAAATGAAAATGGTGGAGTTCAAGTCTATAATGGGGATGGTATTGACAAAAGAATCCCCATGGCTTAAAATAGATAAGGTCCAGAAATATTCAGACAAAATAAAGGGTAAATCAAGTACCTGGACCAGATGGCTTATGCCTACAGGTTCTTAAAGAAATTAACTCTTATTTCAAAGTCATTGTTTTTAATATTTAAAGACTCTAAAAAAAAACTAATTTGGTACTGCTAGGACTGGATCAGTCTTTACCAAGTAACTACAGACAGGCTAGTTTAGGGCCTTGTCTACACCATACGCGAAGAACAAAGGATGAAAATTGACATGCAGATTTCACTTTCAGTTTACATCAGTTTTCATGCGTGCTTCAATGAGTTTTATACACGTGGCAGTTTCCTGCGCAGGAAAAATCTGCACAGGATCCACCAGTATTGTGGTGTGAACAGGGCACATAGAGAACAACTGATTTTGTTGTGCAGTTGAAGAAGGCATGCAGAAAACGGACTTTTCTGCGCCATGGTGTGAATGAGCCCTAACTTCTACAGTAAGAAAGATAATATATATCTCTTAAAGTAGTGAACATTCAACTTACTTTAAACTTTTTATTTGGGCAAGCAAGAGGCATAAATCTCCCATCAAACATATGAGAAAATGGTCCATGACCTAAAACAGAAACCACAGCTGAAAAAAAAAAAAAAAAACACACACACAACCTACAACAAATATTATATCTGATGGTTGATCACATTGTAGGTACTGATGGGTATTGCTCTCACAGTCTGTCCCCCTCCTATGCCTTTCACCACTGCAACCACCATAACATCCGACACACTCCTAAAGAACACTTTTCACAGTTTATGATCATTCATTGTCACACAATCATCTGTTCCTCACCCCCAGACCAACCTTATTTCTCTTATTCTGGCCTGCACTGCACTACTTCCCCCCATTAGACTGTGGGCTTCCCTGGAGCAAGGAGTGATGTGAGTGGTTCTATGTAGCATGTAAAGTAGTAGTAAACAAAGGGGATAAAAAAAAAAAAAAATAAGCCACACAAAACACACACACTCTTACCCAAATCATGGCACAATCCTGCGATCTGGACACACAGCAGGTCTCTCTGGTTTATCTGTAGTTCTGGTTGGCGCTCGTGTAACACCTTTACGAGGCATCCTGCTAGGTGACCCACACTGTGCAAACAAGAGACAGCTGAGATGTTACCACAGTGTTAGCACTTTACCTGAGAATACCAGTTGGAACAACACTTCTCACAAGGGAACCAAGGAGGCACATGGCATAACATACATCTGTATTGATGAGGGAAGGCAACATTTTATGCTAATGGATTGTTTAGGTTTGACCATATATTACATAGACACCAATGGATGAGCTCTGGACTGGATTCTACACAGTAGTTCCTTCAGATTACTGGTGTTTCCTCTCTCCATCTGAGGCCCCTCAACAGACATGGACTCAGTCTCTGGCCAGGGCAGGAGTGTCTGTAAAAGGACTGTGGATTCCCTAACCTTTGACTATCATACCACCTTCGTAAGTATATTTTGTTTATTTTATCATTACATTTTATTTCTAACATACTACACTATCAGCCCTTTTGCGTGGTTTCTCTTTGGGTTTACCGTTTGGATGAATCTGGGTCCTCTCACTCCTCTCCAAGCAGGCTGGCTGCATTGGGTTTTCAGCTAAACGCGCTTCTTGAGAATCAGGGCTGACCCCCTAACTGCATACATATACGTTTATACTGGATCAACAGAGCGGGTGTGCATTTTTTCTCCCCCATTACTTTCTAAGAAGTGTTACATGGTTGAGAGCTGTACGGAAACTTGTTTATTACATAGTTTTGGTAAATGAGATTGTACAATACAATTGTATAATTGTATGGTCAGCTTTAACTCTTTGCACACCAGGAACAAGATGTTGTAAGGAGGGGAGACATACTTGTCAGCGGCCACAGGGGAAAATATATTAGAACATTTTAGTGTGGGGCTGTCAGACAGAACCGGACAAATTTTGATCCCTGTGAACCCTGTCTGTTCAACAGAAGTCAATCATTTGATCAGCTTCTGTCAAACAGTCCTGCTGGAGAACCAGTATTCGATCAGCCATTGCAGCGCTGATCAGTGTATTCCACAGGGGAGGGGATTTGTGTGGATGTGGGATTCAAGAGTTTTTTTTGTTCAGCTAGAGGGTAAAGGGGAAAAAAAAAAAAAGAAAAAATCTCAGAAAAAAAGGGGTATACCTGGCTTAAAGTTTAACTTTGAGCTTAAAAGAGGGGGCGAACAGGCAGGAATTTTAATGCAGAAGAGGAATGTTCTGCATTAAAATTACCTACTTACCTACCCACCCCTGTACAGTGAGCCACGCAGGAGCAGCTCACTGTACAAATTTGGCAATGCCGGATCTGACTGAACTCTCTCATGCAATGAATGCAGCCGGCTTTCAAGACCAGGAAGCCAATCGCCTGAAGATATCAGCGGTCTAGCGGGGAGCTCCAGGATGCTGCATTGCTGGATCCAAGGTAAGTATAGTTCTGCTTTAACACCGAACCCTATCCTTTCCCAAGGCTAGCAATTAACCTTGCCCTTCGACCTTTCTACCTCAGTCCGGGTTTTCTGTAACCTCCTGCTTTACCAACTGAAGCACCGAGCAGAGAGCATTTCCTGTATGGATCTAAAAAGGCTAGGTGACATACCCAATAGAGTGCTCAAATCTGTTATGGGAGGCTCCCGGGAACACATAATAGCAGCCACCAAGCTGTCTGATATACCGCAAACGCTGGAACTGTGGAGTGTCTATAATCCGAACTAGCAGGGGGTGCATCTCAATATGACCATGGATTGGATCATTGAATACCTAAAAGAAAAAAAAGTGGGGCATCAAACTCAAGCAGCAATAAATGCATAAAAAAAATAAAATAAAAAAGCTTCACTATGTGTCCATAATAATAGGTTCATTAAGACTTGCTGTCCAACATTTATTCAGTACTCTTCAGAACACTAAATATTATAAATAAAATATTTTTTGCCATCATCTCCTTACTAAATACAAAAGTGTATAAACTATATGTAGCTGCTGTATTAATTCCTAAGTGGTCCCGTAAACACAACACTCACACATATGTAGTAGTACTGCTTTGATTAGTTGAAGAAGAGTTAATGCAGGTGTTCTAATCATGGTGTCTCACAGAAAAAAAGTTTTACTATACATTTAACAGTGTTAAATATAAAGTGACTAGCTTTTTTTTTTTTTTTTTTGTGTTACTACCATAACCTACCACCAAAGAACAACCCAAAATAAATCCTCCAGCTCTTGACGATCGCAGCGATATCATATATGTGTATGTTATTTGTTGTTTGTAACCGTAGTACAACCCAGAAACAATAGTGCGCATTTTGTTTTTCTTCTTTTTTTTTTTTTTTTTTTTTAACCTAAAAAACACACTGACATTGACACCAATTTTTTTTTTTTTAATCCTGACCTTTTTGACCTTTGACTCTGGCCTTGACCCAAACAATAACCCTGGCACTGAAATAGATCAAACCTTGATCTAGGTATTTTTTCTTTATTTTTTAATATTTCTTTATTTATCTTTTTTTTTTACAAACATTTTTTTTGCTCTCTATGCCAGGAGTTAGAGAGATACAATGCATCTCTCTTCTCCATTCATAGAGAAAAGAAAAAAAAAAAAAAAAAAAAAAACACGTAGCTATGCGGGGCTCTGCCCACGTCACTCACTCACAGCATTCTGTGAACGAGAGACTTCAAGTCCCAGCAGCCTTAGCGGCTGTCAGCTTGTAGTCCCCAATGAACTACCACGGCGCTCCACATCCCATACGAGCAAGCAGATATTCTGACAGATCTGCATGAGACCTACATAGCATCAGCGAGCTGCTAATCGCTGCTGTCATGTTTTATAGGCTATTGCAGGCAACAATAATAACTGCTCATTTTTCTACCTGCAAAAAAATGTGCATTTATTATTTTTTACTAAAAGGTGAACTTATCCTTTAAGACCTGGCGGTTGGCAGGTCACACATTCAGCGCTGCACTGGCAGGTTGCTATGTCTTGCATGAGTTTATTTTGAAATCTACAGATTAAACAGGGTTTGTGTTGTGTCTATTTAAGGCAAACAGTAAAGTTGATCTTTGATTCTGGATACTGGAAGCTCTAGGTTATCCAGGCTAGAAAACAAATAAACTTGATATCACTATGAGAAAATAGACTTTGTACTCTTTTCTCAGAGTAGAGAAATCAGCAGCACAATGGACACAACCAACAACAGCTGCTGGCCAAACCTAAAACAAAACTACTCCAAACACTAAGTTATCTGTGGGACAAAGCTGTCTTATCTTCTGCTTCTGTTTGTGAAACTGAAAATAGCAAATATTCTTATTGTGTGCACTGGGCAAACACTGAAGAGCGACCTTGTGATTTTGAACTGAGAATAAGGAAAGGTTTGTGTGACCCTGTAGAACTAGACAGGTTGGGGGTATAGCAAAGGTTTGTGTGACCCTGTAGAACTAGACGGGTTGGGGGTATAGCAAAGGTTTGTGTGACCCTGTAGAACTAGACAGGTTGGGGGTAGAGGAAAGGTTTTTATGACCCTGTAGAACAGTGGTTCTCAACCTTTCTAACACCGCGACCCCTTAATACAGTTCCTCATGTTGTGGTGACCCCCAACCATAAAATTATTTTCGTTGCTACTTCATAACTGTAATTTTGCAGTAGGAGGAATAGTGCCACGTCATTGGTGTGTCAGTGGGGAGGAATAGTGCCCCCTTCATTGGTATCGGTGGGAGGAATGTGCCCCCGTCATTGGTGTCGGTGGGAGGAATAGTGCCCCCTTCATTGGTGTCGGTGGGAGGAATAGTGCCCCCTTCATTGGTGTCGGTGGGAGGAATAGTGCCCCCGTCATTGGTGTCGGTGGGAGGAATAGTGCCCCGTCATTTGGTGGGAGGTCGTCATTGGTGTCGGTGGGAGGAATAGTGCCCCGTCATTGGTGTCGGTGGGGAGGAATAGTGCCCCGTCATTGGTGTCGGTGGGAGGAATAGTGCCCGTCATTGGTGTCGGTGGGAGGAATAGTGCCCCGTCATTGGTGTCGGTGGGAGGAATAGTGCCCCGTCATTGGTGTCGGTGGGAGGAATAGTGCCCCGTCATTGGTGTCGGTGGGAGGAATAGTGCCCCGTCATTGGTGTCGGTGGGAGGAATAGTGCCCCGTCATTGGTGTCGGTGGGAGGAATAGTGCCCCGTCATTGGTGTCGGTGGGAGGAATAGTGCCCCGTCATTGGTGTCGGTGGGAGGAATAGTGCCCCGTCATTGGTGTCGGTGGGAGGAATAGTGCCCCGTCATTGGTGTCGGTGGGAGGAATAGTGCCCCGTCATTGGTGTCGGTGGGAGGAATAGTGCCCCGTCATTGGTGTCGGTGGGAGGAATAGTGCCCCGTCATTGGTGTCGGTGGGGAGGAATAGTGCCCCGTCATTGGTGGTCGGTGGGGAATAGTGCCCCGTCATTGGTGTCGGTGGGAGGAATAGTGCCCCGTCATTGGTGTCGGTGGGAGGAATAGTGCCCCGTCATTGGTGTCGGTGGGAGGAATAGTGCCCCGTCATTGGTGTCGGTGGGAGGAATAGTGCCCCGTCATTGGTGTCGGTGGGAGGAATAGTGCCCCGTCATTGGTGTCGGTGGGAGGAATAGTGCCCCGTCATTGGTGTCGGTGGGAGGAATAGTGCCCCGTCATTGGTGTCGGTGGGAGGAATAGTGCCCCGTCATTGGTGTCGGTGTGGGAGGAATAGTGCCCCGTCATTGGTGTCGGTGGGAGGAATAGTGCCCCGTCATCGGTGTCGGTGGGAGGAATAGTGCCCCGTCATTGGTGTCGGTGGGAGGAATAGTGCCCCGTCATCGGTGTCGGTGGGAGGAATAGTGCCCCGTCATTGGTGTCGGTGGGAGGAATAGTGCCCCGTCATTGGTGTCGGTGGGAGGAATAGTGCCCCGTCATTGGTGTCGGTGGGAGGAATAGTGCCCCGTCATTGGTGTCGGTGGGAGGAATAGTGCCCCGTCATTGGTGTCGGTGGGAGGAATAGTGCCCCGTCATCGGTGGGAGGTGTGCCCCGTGGGGGGAGGAATAGTGCCCCGTCATCGGTGTCAGTGGGAGGAATAGTGCCCCGTCATCGGTGTCAGTGGGAGGAATAGTGCCCCATCATCGGTGTCAGTGGGAGGAATAGTGTCCCATCATCGGTGTCAGTGGGGGGAGGAATAGTGCCCCATCATCGGTGTCAGTGGGGGGAGGAATAGTGCCCCATCATCGGTGTCAGTGGGGGGAGGAATAGTGCCCCATCATCGGTGTCAGTGGGGGGAGGAATAGTGCCCCATCATCGGTGTCAGTGGGGGGAGGAATAGTGCCCCATCATCGGTGTCAGTGGGGGAGGAATAGTGCCCCATCATCGGTGTCAGTGGGGGGAGGAATAGTGCCCCATCATCAGGGGGTGTCAGTGGGGGGAGGAATAGTGCCCCATCATCGGTGTCAGTGGGGGAGGAATAGTGCCCCATCATTGGTGTCAGTGGGGGGAGGAATAGTGCCCCATCATTGGTGTCAGTGGGGGGAGGAATAGTGCCCCATCATTGGTGTCAGTGGGGGGAGGAATAGTGCCCCATCATAGGTGTCAGTGGGGGGAGGAATAGTGCCCCATCATAGGTGTCAGTGGGGGGAGGAATAGTGCCCCATCATAGGTGTCAGTGGGGGGAGGAATAGTGCCCCATCATAGGTATCAGTGGGGGGAGGAATAGTGCCCCATCATAGGTATCAGTGGGGGGAGGAATAGTGCCCCATCATAGGTGTCAGTGGGGGGAGGAATAGTGCCCCATCATAGGTGTCAGTGGGGGGAGGAATAGTGCCCCATCCTTGGTGTCAGTGGGGGGAGGAATAGTGCCCCATCCTTGGTGTCAGTGGGGGGGAGGAATAGTGCCCCATCCTTGGTGTCAGTGGGGGGAGGAATAGTGCCCCATCCTTGGTGTCAGTGGGGGGAGGAATAGTGCCCCATCCTTGGTGTCAGTGGGGGGAGGAATAGTGCCCCATCCTTGGTGTCAGTGGGGGGAGGAATAGTGCCCCATCCTTGGTGTCAGTGGGGGAGGAATAGTGCCCCATCGTTGGTGTCATTTGGGGGAGGAATAGTGCCCCATCGTTGGTGTCAGTGGGAGGAATAGTGTCCCATCGTTGGTGTCAGTGGGAGGAATAGTGCCCCATTATTGGTATTAGTGACACCAATGATGGGGCACTATTCCCACTGACACCAATGATACTTACCTTGCAGACCCCTGCTCCAGCCTGGGCTCGCTCGCTCCCTCCCTCTCCCATGGTACCGACACTTACCTGTCAGCTGTCTTCCTTCTCCGGCCGCTCTCCTCCTCTTCACTCGCTCGATCTTCGCGGTGCCGCTCGGCTCCTCCTCTCCAAGCTCCACCTCCTTGCCAGTGATTGGCCGCCTGTGTGCCTCTCCTGAGCTACAGTGCCGGCGGCCAATCACAGGCGAGGATTGATCTCGAGGTGTGTCCAGATGACAGGGGCGGCATGTCATCCCGCCCACACCTGGAGACGGCGGTGGAGGTGGCGAGGAGCGGTGTCTCGGTTCCTAAGACCATCGGAAATATGTGTTTTCCGATGGTCTTAGGCGACCCCTGTGGAAGCGTCGTTCGACCCCCAGGTTGAGAACCGCTGCTGTAGAACTAGACAGATTGGGGGTATAGCAAAGGTTTGTGTGACCCTGTAGAACTAGACAGGTTAGGGGTAGAGGAAAGGTTTTTATGACCCTGTAGAACTAGACAGGTTGGGGGTATAGGAAAGGGTTGTGTGACCCTGTAGAACTAGACAGGTTGGGGGTATAGCAAAGGTTTGTGTGACCCTGTAGAACTAGACAGGTTGGGGGTATAGGAAAGGGTTGTGTGACCCTGTAGAACTAGACAGGTTGGGGGTATAGCAAAGGTTTTTATGACCCTGTAGAACTAGATGGGTTTGGGGTAGAAGAAAGGTTTGTGTGAGCCTGTAGAACTAGATGGGTTGGGGGTATAGGAAAGGGTTGTGTGACCCTGTAGAACTAGACAGGTTGGGGGTAGAGGAAAGGTTTTTATGACCCTGTAGAACTAGACAGGTTGGGGGTATAGCAAAGGTTTGTGTGACCCTGTAGAACTAGACAGGTTGGGGGTATAGTAAAGGGTTGTGTGCCCCTGTAGAACTAGATGGGTTGGGGGTATAGGAAAGGTTTGTGTGACCCTGTAGAACTAGATGGGTTGGGGTTATAGGAAAGGTTTGTGTGTCCCTGTAGAACTAGACAGGTTGGGGGTATAGGAAAGCTTTCCACCTCTCCCATCAGCTTCAGGTGCTGCCACAGGGGCTTTAAAATTAACACATTATGCTCCCGCCCCCATTGCTCCAACTCCAACCCTACCAATCCCCCAGCATCTGCCCCCATTGTGCTGCTGGCCAGCTCGCCATCATCTCCCTGGCTGCAACAGAGACGCTGTCAGGACAGAAAGTGGATGTTAAGCCCCGGAGACGGAGCAAAACATGTGGCTAGCCTGAGCGGGGGGGGGGGGGGGGCACTAATCATTTATCGTGGGTTGCAGTAGATATGAGTGTAGTCATATTTCCTGTGTTATTTGCCTTAAGTGCTTAGGTGTAACTTTTTTTTTTTTACTTTTTGTCACCTTTTTTTTCTCATCACATGGGGATAAAAATTCCCCATATGATGATTTTTTTTACATCAGGTTCTCTTTAATGAGACACCAGGTCTAAAAGACCCCTTACACTGCATTAGATTCTTCCTCAGCCATACAGTGAAAGGGGAACCAATAAGTGACGTTTTACATGGCGTTTCTGGGTCAGCAAGAATGGGGGCAGAGCAGACGGATGTTTGCTCAGCTCTCTCCCCTCTACCCAGCAGCACTTGCCATGCCAGTCTTGGGTGCATGGTGGGGGCAGCTGTTATTGGGGTCTTTGCAAGCAGTTGGGCGGATGCGCAGACACTGGACTGCTTCTATCTGAATGCTGGCAGTCGGCTTGTATGATATACATGTTAGACCAGCTTCTATTAACCAGCATTTGATCAGCCACTGCACCACTGATCAGGGTATTCTGACCACTGTCCCAACTGTATGGAGGGCCAAATGCTCACTTGTAATGTCTAATCTTTCATTGTATTTTTTGGATATCAGAACTAGTTTGCAGACATTATGAAATTTTTTTTTTTTTTTTTTACACAAAGTACGGGTTGGTTTTATTGTTAAAATATATTAAGATTAAATTGCCTAAACAATGTCAATGGCTTGCCACCAACAAGCACCCAGGTTACCTTCAACAAGTCAACAATGTTAAGCATACACTTGTCTTTGTGAAGATTAGAAGAATGACTCATGGAACAAGAGATTACAGGATAGATTGACAGTTGTGCAAGGTGATACTAGTCACACACTGGCAAATGTCCCAATAACATATGAAGGTGTTTTTTGCCAAGTAAAAAAGCATCAGTGCAAATATTGGTGGTTCAGTGCTTCTCCCCCACAGCTATGCCATTCTTACTGCAATGGGCAGTAAGGGGCCAAGCATTGAATTCATCAGTCTGAAACACTTCTCCCATCTCATATCAACCATTTCATTTAAGGCTGGACAGCACATTGCATTGGTCCAAACTCTGCTCCTCTACTACAACAGAGATCATGTGACTTATCGCAGCATTGGGTCACATGACTTTCTCTGGCAGAGAAGAATTTAAAAAAAGGACAGCACAAGAAAGGCAAGTATTTCTGACTGGTCTCTTTCCTTTCCTGCACATCACTTGATGGCAAGGTACATGGAATGCTTAACTTGACATACCTTCATAATACTGATTGAATTTTGGAAGAGTGTACGAAAACAACGGAGCAAATCCAGTCTTTCCGCTACGGTCCTGTTTAGAGAGAAAAACAAAAAATTTTAAGTAAATCACGTAACGCACAAACAAGGCAAGGCATTTATGACATACTTTACTGTGAGAGATGTATAGAAACTTAAAAAATATCTTTACTCAAAAATTAATTCTGTTTTATTGCGGGAAGTAGTTGAACATCCTTTGCATATAATTTCCCTTTTTTTTACAGTCACAAGCAATAAAAAAAAAAACGAACCGCAAACTGTTCATCTCACTACTTCTATATATCAGATCCTGGCACCCCTAGCTTCCATGGAAAGCCTATGAAAATTGTAGTTAGGATTAAAAAGGGAACCTGTCAGGACAAAAATAGGGCAATGTGCAAAAAAGCAGACTTAAAGACAGCCATTCAGATCTATGATTCTCCACCAAAGTAGGCACTCCCCAGCTGTAAATCTGTCTGCACCTCACCAAAATGTAAAGCTAGGACAAGGTCCCTGCACAGTAAAGATACACTCTGAGTCCATGCTCACTTAATCGTCGCATTAATGCACGTTTGCTCACAATACACTGCAATGCAGGTTACACAAATTAGTGTGCTGCCATTTATTTTCAATATCACCCCAGCACACTAAAGCAATGAATCTGCGTTGCAGTATGCAGTGTTATAAAAAAAATAATGTATGCCCGATAAGTTTGTCAGGATACTTTGGCAGCCCATTCAAAATTAGTGGGCTGTCTTAAAGTATAACTAAAAGCAAAACGTTTTTTGTTTTAGTTTGGAGTGGAGAGGGATTAGAAACCCCATCAGGGTTTTATTGCTGTCTGTGCCCCCGTTAACCGCCTCCCGCCCACCATATAGTAATATGACGGACGCAAGGTGGTTCTCTCGTTCTGGGAGGACGTCATATGATGTCCTCCCATTCTAACCGTGCATACGCGCCTCCCGGAGCGCGGCGATCGGCAGTGCGCTGTGTCCCTCGGACACAGCGGATCACCGATCCACGGAAAGAGCCGAAGATGTCGGCTCCGTCATGTGATCAGCTGTGTCCAATCACAGCTGATCACATGTAAACAGGGAAATGCCGGTTATCAGCATTTCTCTCCCCACGACCTGTCACGCTGACAGCTGGTGATGAGGAGAGCCGGTAATCGTCATTCCTCGGGGGGGGAGGGGGGCTATGTACACAGATCATCAGGGCACTGATGATCAGTGTGCCCTGATAATCTGTGTAGCCCCAGCAGCACCACCTGTCATCAGTGCCAGCTCTCAGTGCTCATCCATGCAACCTGCCAGTGCCCATCAGTGCCAAATTTCAGTGCCACATCAATGTCACATCAATGCCCATCTGAGCTGCCTTTCAGTGTCACCCACCACTGCCAGTCAGTGCCACCAAGTGCTGCCAGTTAGTGGCACCTAACAGTGCCATATATGAGTGCTGCCTTTCAGTGCCCATCAGTGATGCCTGTCAATGCCCATCAGTGCAACCTACCAGTGCCTCCTCATCAGTGCCCATCAGTGCCCATCATTGCAGCCTCATTAGCGCACATCAGTGAAGGAGAAAAATCACTTATTTACAAAATTTTATAACAAAAATTAAGAAAAAAACTTTTTTTTTTTTTTCAAAATTTTCAGTGGTTTTTGGTTTAAGAAAAAAATAAAAAACCCAGGAGGTGATTAAATACCACCAAAATAAAGCTCTGTCACAAAACAAATTATAAAAATTTCATATGGGTACAGTGTTGCAGGAAAGTGCAATTGTCATTCAAAGTGCTGGAAATTGGCCTGGCAGGAAGGGGGTATAAGTGCCCTGTAGGCTAGTGGTAAAGGAGAGCCACCCTCTCTGTTTGTCCTGTTTACCATTACAGTGGGGAAAATAATTATTTGATCCCTTGCAGATTTTGTAAGTTTGCCCACTTACAAAGAAATGAAGGGTCGATCACTTTTATCAACCAAAAATCCAGGAAAAAAAAAGAAAAACTACACGATACAAATGTTATAAATTGAGTTGCAGTTCAGTGAGTAAAATAAGTATTTGATCCCCTACCAACCAACAATAATTCTGGATCCCACACAGACTGGCTATGTGCTCATGTGGTACACAGATTAGTCCTGTCAGTTTAGGAAAGCGCTCCTAACCACGACTAGTTATGTGTACAAAAGACACCTGTCCACAGAATCTTTTTCTTGGGCACCACCATGGGCAAGACCAAAGAGCATCAGGGACAAGATTGTAGACCTGCACAAGGCTGCAATGGGCTACAAGACCATCAGCAAGAAGCTTGGTGAGAAGATAACGGTTAGAGCGATTATTTGCAAATGGAAGAAATACAAAATAACCATCAATCACCCTCGGTCTGGAGCTCCATGCAAGATTTCACTTCATGGGGTAATTATGATCATGAGAAAAGTGAGGGATCAGTCCACAACTACAAGGCAGTTGGGACCACAGTCAACAAATAAACCATTGGTAACACAATATGCTGCCATGGATTGAAATCCTGCAGCGCCTGCCCCCCTCCTCAAGAAAGCACATGTACAGGCCCATTTGAAGTTTGCCAATGAGCATCTAAATAATTCAGAGAAAGATTGGGAGAAAGTGCTGTGGTCAGATGAGACCAAAATTTTGCTCTTTGACATTAACTCATCATCGTGTTTGGAGGAAGAAAGATGTTGACTATGACCCTAACACCATCCCTATAGTCAAGCACAGAGGTGGAAACATTATGCTCTGGGGATTTTTCTATGCTAAAAAAGGTACAGACCGACTTTACCGCATTGACAGGGCCATGTATTGTAAAATCTTGGATGAGAAACTTCTTCCCTCAGCCAGAACAATTAAGATGGGTCTTCCAGCATGACAATGACCCAAGATGTACCACCAAGGCAATAAAGGAGTGGCTCAAGAAGCAGCACATTAAGGTCATGGAGTGGCCTAGTCAGTCTCGAGACCTTAATCCTATAGAAAGTTTATGGAGGGAGCTGAAACTTTCTGTTGCCTAGCGACAGCCAAGAAACCCTAGAGATTTAGAGAAGATCTATAAAGAAGAGTGGACCAAAATCCCTCCTGAGATGTGTGCAAACCCAGTAACCAACTAGAAGAAACATTTTACCACTGCTTGCCAACAAGGGTTTCTCCACCAAGTACTAAGTCATTTTTGCTTGGGGATCAAATACTTATTTTACTCCCTGAACTGCAACTCAATTTATAATATTTGTATCAGGTGTTTTTCTGGATTTTGGTTGATATTCTGTCTCTATCATTTAAAATATACCTATGATCTATGAAATATACCTATATACCTATGATCCCACAGGGGATCCAGTAATTATCTCCCCCACTGTACCATTGAAAGTGCAAGCAAAGAAATTCCAATGGGGACACTAGTTCTGGTGACCTGGGGGTCTCCAAGGGATTCCCTCCCACTGTTTGGCTATGGAACAAGAAATGAAGAGAAATCTTCAAAAATGGGACATAGATGGCGAAACAAAATCTGACATTAGTTATAAATCTCCCTCTATCCAAAATAAAATAAAAAGGTTTTGCCTACAAGTTTACAAATTTATTCCATTTATACACAAAAATACCAATATTTAAAAGCAATTGTCTACTTTGAACTTCTTTAATTACAAACAATTAAAAGTCAGAAGAGCTCTACTTAGTGTTTAATACATATCAAACACAGGCAGTATATACATAAAATTCTGAGACTGTAACTTATTGACAATAAAATATTGTCCAGGTATACAGAAAAAATATTTTATTTTAAGGAATTCTGGTTAGAAACTTCAGTAGCTTTGGAATTGACATTTCTTACCTTCCAAAAAATATGGTCATTTTTTGGATTGCAATCCAGTTCTGCAGCTACAGTAAAATCGCTCCCATAAATCTGCATAATAAGGGCTCATTGTCCTTTTCTACCTGTTTGAAAAGCCAGTGTCTGCTCTGCCTGCTCCCTCTTTAGGCCACCAGTCTAGTAACTTCCACATTGCAGTTTTTTTTTTTTTTAAACCAATAACAATTATGTCATGGTTGGCTGTAGTGGGAGACTCCAAGCATCCCAGATTCCCAATCTATCCCTCCCAATAGCACACCTGAATTTGACTGACAGGCTAGGAGACTTCTGGTCGTCCCACCCACACTAGAACAATACCATGATGGACAAGCCAGGAAATTCCTGGTCTGTTGTGCTTAATTTTGTTGCATGATGGGAATTGTAGTTTGTTCCTTTGGCACCACACAGTGAATTTAGGGAGTTAAACAGGCAGCGAAGCATCAACATATTGCCTGCTCATTGCCTATCTGAAAACCATTCTGAGCACCGATTGCATTTCAGAGGGACAGCAGTCCTTGCTACATGTGTAAACAAGCCCTATAAATGCAGTAGACTCCAAACATGGAAATAGGCAGTGGGAGCTGGAGTCAGACAGGTAGTACGAAATCTACCTTTTATTTTAGTTTTATAAATACATTATCCTGAGCCCACATTCGAACTGAAAACCTCAAGTTTAAAGTAGATGTTCAGCCAAATTTTTTTTTTGTTTGGACAGAGCAGAGAAGGGGCAGGTTCCTCATTGGAAGATTCCCTCATCGTTTCCTATCCCAGAGACATGGACTGAAAGCAGGGAGAAATCTCACCAATGACAGTTATCTTCTGTTTTTCCAAACACAACTGAAAAATTGTGTCCTCACTTTCTGTTGTGGTGATCACCGTTACCCTCCCAAAAGGAGACACTACACAGTAAAAACAATTATTCCCTACTCTATCAAAAAAAGGAGTAAAAACAACAACAAACTTTGGTCCCTTTTGGCCTGTTAAATATACAGCTGAATTTGTTTTGTTATAGCTGAGCAACAAGTACAAAAAACATCTGTTGATTCTGCAAAAAATCCAACTAGCAAATGAAGTATGGTCTCTGCTCCCGCTACCTTGAAACCAGCGTTATCAGCCCAGTTATGCACTGTGGACTAGAGCATCCTTTTTTAACCAGAGTTTTCAGGCACCCTGGGGTACCTTGAGCTTTCTTCTGCCTAAAACTTGCCCAAAAATTGTATACAAGCCAGCAGGTGGAACAAGTCTGCCTTTTAGCCACACAAAGCCACAGATTTTCATTGTGCATCATTACAAACATCTAGCTGCCGGCGTCCTAACAACCACTGATGCCATCAGTTGCTATGGAGGATGTCAGTCGCCTGTAAGGCATCCTCGTTTGACCCTCCCCTGCCCCTCTCTGTAAGTAATGGGGTCAAAGTCACTGAGTGATAGAAAGAAACTGAGGGAGAAGAGAAACACTAAAATACTATTCACTATCGATGTGCAAAAGCGTATTTGCTTTGTACGAATAAATCCCCTATAACATTGGGTGTCCTACATGTGTGGGTATTGCTGCATTGGGTACAACTATTAGAATAGTTTTTGCATTTTAAAATGGGATGCCTTGAGACTGTCCAAAATTTTAAAGGATGCCTCAAGACTGTTCATAACTTTAAAAGGGTGCCTTGACTGAACAAAAAAAATAAAAAAAGTTGAGAAACACTGGACTAGAGAACAACACCTCTACATTATGAAGATAGGGGAAAGTCATTTTATAGTCCTAAGGGCCATTTCACATTACATGCGGTGACAGACGTTTTTCCGCTTGTGATGCGCCTAAAGAAGCTGGCAATCGCCCCTGCAGCTCTGCGTTGCAGTGTGAATTCGTCCTAAAATATTTCCTGCCCCAGGGTGACAGCACTGTTTCTCCATTTATATAGTATTGGAATTTGTCACCCTAAGACAACATACTGGCAGGATCACCAAGTGGAAAAAAACAAAAAACATTAAAAAGCCAAAGCTAATGCAGCCGCCATATCAAAAGACAGGTAAGCTACAATAAACATTTCCGATTTTTGGGTTAAGATACTTTAAACTTAAAGTTTAATTTAAAGTTGATGTAAACCTCAACTGTATGATATTTAAGTTTCTAAAGAACAATGTATCAAACAATTGCTATTTTTTTCCTTTTAGAAAATATCATTTTCACATTTCTTCTTTCATCCTATGTTGATCTCAGTACTGCTACTCTCATCTAACCTCTGCCTACATGAATGGGCTACAGCAGCAGCTGAATAGAATTGCTCCCTGGACTAGTTTTCGGATGGCGATGATGATGCAGGACCATACCTATTCAATGAGCAACTGTAGAGCCATATATATTTTTAACTACAAGTGCATATAACAGGGTGACAACACAGGAGCGCAAATGGGAGACAGGCTGTGATACATATGTGACATGAGTCTACAGGATGTATGGATGAGGAGTGATTGACACTCAACTGTCATAATGCTAGCAATTATAACCATTTTGGACTGGAGTTCAAAAACAACAAGTTGGAAGTATACATTAAACTGGATAAAACCAGAGCTCTGGCTCATATTCACCAGATGTGCATTCTATCAAAATATGTAACTATGCATGACGGCACGAGCTGATCACGCGTCGACTAACTACTACGCAGAATCATACATGATGTTATATAACCAGGAGATACTGCACATGGCAGTAGAGAAGGATACTGCAAATTATGTATATAAAAGAAGGGGGATTCTAGGGGAATTTGGGACTTGCTGAAGAGCGGCAGACGTGCCTTGCGGTGATTTCCCGGATTTCCCCCTGCTGGTTGCTGGAGTCCCCAATCGTTGGGCAACGAGTAATGCTACAATATCCAGTGATGTATTGATGCTTTATTCTTGCTATAATACAATCTAAATATGATTTGCAATTCTGACAATTCTTATGTTATTATACTAACAGAACTTATTCAATAAATCATGTTTTGTTTTAATACTTATTAAGCCTAATCTTTGTATTAGTGAGCGATTGTAGTAGTGTTAAAAACACTTTGTTTTGAGGCAAAACACAGGCACAGAGCATTGTCACCCCAACACAGGAAGTGTATGATCAAGGACCTTATTGGCAAGATTTCATTTTGATGAAAGCTGTCACTGTAAAATATTGTAAATTACTTTTAAAATGAAACAAACATGTTAAAGATTATTTTAAATGATTGGGTTTACATTTATTTTTAAGTCCCAAGCATACCCCCTAGGGTACTCAAAGACAATAGGATTCCAGTAACCTGAACTGGCTGTGTGCCACTGGATTGGATAATGATACCATGGCTGTGGGTCTCCCCTGAGATGGCCAGCTGTTCGGGAAAAGTTAATTAGGCTGTTTAGAAAACTTGCAGGTCTAGGCAGTTGTTTTCTTCTCCTATTGCCTAAGGGTGGTCAGATTGCACCTTGCTGTTTATCTGCCTCAACTCTCCAGTTGCTTATCAAAAAAACTAAATTTGGCTTTATATTACCTTCCTGTAATCCTCTGTACAGCAAGCTTCAGTCACAGAATATTTCTCACATTCAAGACACAAAGGCTCCAATGCACAGTGACGTCATGTCAACATTGGGACCTTGTAGAGCGATGACCTTGTGAATTTAGTGGGTTTTCCTTTGGGGCCCTCTCACATTAACAGTGCTGCTGTAACGCACTGGGGATCTATTTATTATGAAAGGAATCCCAACGAACCTCCAAAATGTAAGTGCATTGCGACGCACTACAGCACCGTTTCCTGTGCACTGCTAAAAATTCAGACAGCGCCTATTTTTTAATGCGTTGAGGTGGGTCGCAGCCCATTTATTTTGAATGGACTGCCTAACACAGAGTGCCTCCACACTCTTTGTTGTATGAATGGGCCCTAATTGTAAATCAACAGGTCGGAGGGGTCTGTGACAAGTTTTTTTTTTTTTTTTTTTTTTTTTTTTTTTAACTGCAGAGAAAAGTAAGGTAAACAGTCTGGCTGAGCTGTCTGGCAGGACAGCCTGCATCTTAATCTTAAGGCATGCCGACAGAATGACAAATCTTGTGGCAGGTAAGAGTTTATGCATAGGTATTCCATCTTTGTATATAATTGCTCACCAAAAGTTAATATTTAACATAAACCCAAGCCTAATACTAAGAAGAGGAAATCATCGTCACCACTAACATACAAACTACTGCATCAATAATTCTGGCAATACACCATCGTCCAAAGACAAATTCAAAGCCAGACATCTATAAAAATCTATTCCAAACAGGAAAAGCATTTCAACCTTTTTTCCGTCAAGGCACCCTTTAAAATGATGGACAGTCTTGAGGCACCCCATTCTAAAATGTGAAAAACTATTCTAATAATTTTATATAAAACACAGCAACAGCCACACATGTAGGACACCCAACATTAGAGGCAATTTATTCTTCCAAAGCAAATACACCTTTGTACAGTGGTACTGACTAGTATTCCAGTGTTTCTCTTCTCCCTCAGTTTTTCTCCATCACTGAGCTAATGTGACCCCCAGTACTGACGGAGAGGGGCAGGGGCAGGGGAGGGTCAAACTAGGATGTTGTGCAGGCAGCCGACATCCTCCTTAACTGATGTCATTGGTTGTCAGGACGCCAAATGGCTAGAAAGTCGTAATGGTACACAATGAAAACCTGTGCCTTTGTGTAACTAAAAGGCAGACTTGTTCCACCGGCTGGCTTGTATAGAAATTTGGGTAATTTGTAGACATTTTGCCAAGGCACCCCTGAAGAAACCTAAAGGCACCCTGCTTGAGAAAGGCTGCCCTAGAAACACAATAACAGGAAAAATCTTTACCCGATCTGAAATTCTTTCAAGTTCTCTTCTGTGAGATCTTGCAGATGTCTTCCTTGTATACCATGTTCTATAGCCAACGAAGACAAAAAGGAAAAAAATTACTTTGTGAATGTTGAGTGGGGCCAAGAATGGACATAAATTACATAGTAACCATTATTACATAATTCATCTTATGTCTGATTAGAACAATTAAAGAGTTTGGGGTTACCGCAATATGAAGACCAAAAAGCTGCCTGATTAAGAGAGAAAACAATATTTTATTTCATGAAGCTCACATTTTTAGTTATTACTGCTTGAGGTGATTGTAGCCGTATTAGTGCATTTGCGACAGAAACAATTGAGTACTGTCCGTGATACTTTTTTTATTTGCACTAACATACAATTTTGAGGACAAGCTTTCGGGGAATGTCCCCTTCTTCAAAGTCCAAACAGTACTATTACAAATCACAAAGTTTAAGCAGAATGTTAGAAGGGATTGAGAAAAAAAAAAAAAGGCTACAGATAAGATACATCAAAAGCGAGGGGGATACTACACTCACACAGAGGGGGTCAAGCTTCAGCTAATAGATGGTCATAAAACTGTTGGATAATGGTTGAGGAATCCCATGTCCAAGTTAAGGCCGTTATCTTTTGTGTCAAATAGAATTATCATTCTTAGTTCAAATGTTTTTTTCCTGGATGGATTTGAATTCTCCTTTCAGAACTAAAACATTGAGGTCTTCCATATTGTGGCCTGGTTGTGTGAAATGGTGTCCTACAGGTGTGCAAAGGTCATCTTCTTCATGTTCCTTGATGGTATGTCTGTGCAAATTCATCCTTGCCTGCAACTTCTGTCCTGTTTCGCCAACATAAGATCCTTTGCTGCTTTTTCTGCACTGGATAAGATACACAACATTACTGGAGGTGCAGCTGTATGATCCGGAAATATTGAAGATCCCTTTTGAGTGTCTGACACTTTTTGATGGATTGATTTGGTTGCACAGTTTGCAGCATTTCTTATTGCAGGGTTTGCTTCCATTATTTGTGACATCATAATCAGAAGGAAGTTTCCTACTGATTAGTTTATTTCTGAGGTTGGGGGGTTGTCTGAAAGCCAGTATTGGGGGTTGCTGGAATATTTCTTTCAGAGTTCCATCCTCTGTTATGATGGGTTGTAAATCTTTATTATTTTTCTTATCCCTTCTAGTGCTGGGTTGTATGTGTTTACTAGAGGTACACGGTTGTTGTTTGTTTTTTTTCTCTTTGTACTGAAGTAGATTTTCCCTTCGGGTTCTCAAGGCTGTGTTTATGCTGGTGTTGATAGTTTTGTCCTTGTAACCTTTCTTATGGAAGGCGTCTGCTAGTGTCCCGAGATGTTTATCTCTGTCTCTTGGGTCAGAACATGCTTGGTGGTATCTGATGGCCTGACTGGGTATGATGGCACATTTCGTGCGTTGGGGGTGGAAGCTGGAACTGTGGAGGTAGTTGCATCTGTCAGTGGGTTTCCTGTATATTGAGGTGTGAAGCGTATCATCCCTGATGTATACTGTGGTGTCTAGGAAGTTGACGTGTGTGTTTGAGTATTCCATTTTAGTTTGATTGATGGATGAAAAGTGTTCATCAATGAGTAAAATTGTGTTAGGTTTACTTCACCTTCTGTCCATATGATGAAAATATCATCAATATAGCGAAAGTATCTGTATGGTTTTTGTTCCATGCGGTTCAGGACTTGTTCCTCCAGGTCAGCCATAAATAAATTTGCAAATTACTGCAAAATCTAGAACTTGTTCCACACCTTGAATGTGTGGAAGCGCCAAACGTAGTAGAGGAGCAGATATTTGCTTCCTCATGTCAGAGCTGTCACTCTGGTGACTGGTGTGGTAATAATTAAAAGGCAGGAGGACAGATGGAGGAAGCAGAGATATACAGAATTGAAAAAGCAGAATCTGGAAGATCCTTACAGTGCAACTACTAAGGTACAACTTCCTCTCCAGCAAGTCCTCCGACCAACAATGAGCAGCATAGCAATGACATCATCAAATCATACTAAAAACTTATGAAACTAGAAGTGCCTTACCTGAACACATATTGCAAATACGCAGCTACTAGGCACATGTTAGGAAGTGCACCAACAGGAGGATGTTTAAGCTAATGGTAGATTTTCAGAGTCTTGCTTAGTACCCATTATAATTTCTAGAAGTCCCTGCTAAGATAGCAAAACTTTTGTCCACTTTAAGACTCCCAGACTCCCCAGACTGGGGGGAGATGACATGATCTCTATGCAATCACATGATCACAATGTGTACACAACTGCTATGAATGAGTTTCATTCATAACAGCTGTACTTTCTATAGTGCTGCTGTAAGTGATCTACAGCTATCACATGATACCGAGCACCCTGTTTCATGTGATAAGCTGTAGCTAAGTACAGTATTCATGGACAGCTCAAATGATTGCTGTTACAGTAATAATGTAACAGCAATTACAGTGTGAAAAAGAAAAAGGAGGAAGAAAAAAAGGAGGAAGAAAAAGGAGGAAGAAAAAAGGAGGAAGAAAAAAGGAGGAAGAAAAAAGGAGGAAGAAAAAAGGAGGAAGAAAAAAGGAGGAAGAAAAAAGGAGGAAGAAAAAAGGAGGAAGAAAAAAGGAGGAAGAAAAAAGGAGGAAGAAAAAAGGAGGAAGAAAAAAGGAGGAAGAAAAAAGGAGGAAGAAAAAAGGAGGAAGAAAAAAGGAGGAAGAAAAAAGGAGGAAGAAAAAAGGAGGAGGAAGAAGGAGTGGTGGTGTTGACACTGTACTACTCTGATTAACCATGTTCCACCCGCCATATAGTAACATGATGGGCGCAAGGTGGTTCTCTTGTTCTGGGAGGACATCATATGATGTCCTCCCGTTCTCACTGCGCATGCGCGGCTCAGGGAGCGAACAGCGCGGCGATCGGTGGTGCGCTGTGTCCCTCGGACACAGCGGATCACCGATCACGGAAAGAGCCGAAGATGTCGGCTCGGTCATGTGATCAGCTGTGTCCAATCACAGCTGATCACATGTAAATAGGGAAATGCCGGTTTATCGGCATTTCTCTCCTCACGAGCTGTCACGCTGACAGCTCGAGAAGAGAGGAGAGCCGGTAATCGGCTTTCCACAGAGGGGACATGTACACTGATCATCAGAGCACTAATGATCAGTGTGCCCTGATGATCAGTGTAGCCCCAGCAGTGCCACCTGTCAGTGTCCATCAAGTGCCACGTGTCAGTGCACATCAGTGCCACGTGTCAGTGCCCATCAGTGCCACGTGTCAGTGCCCATCAGTGCCGCCTGTCAGTGCCGCCTATCAGTGCCGCCTGTCAGTGCCGCCTGTCAGTGCCGCCTGTCAGTGCCCATCAGTGCCGCCTGTCAGTGCCCAGTGCCTGTCAGTGCATCAGTGCCTGTCAGTGCCCATCAGTGCCGCCTATCAGTGCCCATCAGTGCCGCCTATCAGTGCCCATCAGTGCCGCCTATCAGTGCCCATCAGTGCCGCCTATCAGTGCCCCATCAGTGCCGCCTATCAGTGCCCATCAGTGCCGCCTATCAGTGCCCATCAGTGCCGCCTATCAGTGCCCATCAGTGCCGCCTACCAGTGTGCCCATCAGTGCCGCCTACCAGTGCCCATCAGTGCCGCCTACCAGTGCCCATCAGTGCCGCCTACCAGTGCCCATCAGTGCCGCCTACCAGTGCCCATCAGTGCCGCCTACCAGTGTCCATCAGTGCCGCCTACCAGTGTCCATCAGTGCCGCCTACCAGTGTCCATCAGTGCCGCCTACCAGTGTCCATCAGTGCCGCCTACCAGTGTCCATCAGTGCCGCCTATCAGTGTCCATCAGTGCCGCCTATCAGTGTCCATCAGTGCCGCCTATCAGTGTCCATCAGTGCCGCCTATCAGTGCCCATCACTACAGCCTCATTAGCGCACATCAGCGAAGGAGAAAAATAACTTATTTACAAAATTTTATAACAAAAACTAAGAAAAAAAAATCATCTTTTTCTTTTTTGTTCAAACTTCTACATTTGAAAATACTATCATCAGTATAAAAAAAAAAAAACGCACCTGTTTTCAATAAAAAGGGGAAGTGGTAAAAACATGCCTGAAAGTGAGCTGTGAGCAAGTATGCTCATCAAACAAGTTAGAAAAGCATACAATCCTAACATGACATCCAGGAAATTAGTATTCCTAAAACAAAATTAAACAGCAGCAACCTGTTTTGCTCAGGAAAGGTTTTTTTTCCAAAAGGAATAATAGGGCCTGTGCATAGTGCTGATGTAAAGTGATATGCACAGTCTCTATGCTAATTTAAGTTTGGAATCTACTGTCACAGACAGCCAAGCTATAGTACCCCCCCCCCCACCACACACACACACCCCACCACCTTTTCTGATCCTCTATCCAGTTTATAACGGTTAAGCACAGATATTAATGGGATTGCTGTCACTTTAAAGAAGCTTCTAGCATTCTCAGCACTACCCATCATCACAGGGTAACTTTTATCCCATAGGTCACCTGTAAAGGAAGGCGGTTTTTATACTTATTTTCTGGCAAGCCATGTTTTGAAAAGCTGCCACATCTTCACTTCCCAGCTGCTGCAAGTATTCTAACCATTGGAGGAGTCAAATACCTGCTTTTCCTGCCTGGCCGGCTTGTACATCACTACAGATGATCATTTGTACCACCATAACCCATTGGTCATATTTTAGCTGAAAATGATCATTCACCATTATGCCACTATAACTAAAGCTGAACTCCGAGGAAAGAAAAAGTGCTCCCTGGCCCGGCATGGCCATCTTGGATAAGGAAACCAGCTCTGGGACTTTTTGAGTGAAGTTCTGCTTTAAACCGTATGTATTGCCAAAACGTTTGAGTACAGAAAGGTTTAAAACCCCCAAGGCCCCTTTCACACATTCACAGCTCACTTACATTGCATTTTTTTTTCATCAGTTCAGACACGTTCTTTCCAAGAAAAATGGATCAGTGTACATCCCTTGATCATCTGTTTACATCCACTAGTCCATAGAAATACATGGGTGTCCTTTTTCATCTGTAAATGGACAGATGAAAAACAGACATACGGAACGCCCACGTCAAAGGGGCCTGAGAGTTTTATCCTGCTGTCTGTGTCTCATTGGGGAAATTTCCATGTACTTCCTGACCTGAAGATGCAGCAGGAAGCAAGAAAAACATTTCTCCAAAAGGGAGAAAAATTGTCACATTACCAGGGTGCCAAATGGAAAAAACTCACCCAGTCTCCTGGTCTAGGGATATATAGATTGTTTTGGATTTCAATTTACTTTCCGTCTCTGCAACAATGGCCATCAGGACAAACCGAGAGTGAGAGCCTCCCCACAAGGGGCACAGAGAGTAATTAAAAAAACATTGTAAGGGGATTTTAATCAACCCCTAATCAACCCAAAAAGTTCATACATACAGGGGCGGACTGACAACTCATGGGGCCCCCGGGCATTAGGGGATCATGGGGCCCCTGTGTCCTTGCCCAAACTCAAAAAAGCCTATGAAAACGGTACCAGGGGCATCTCATGGAGCCCCCTACTGACCCCGGGCCCTTGGGCAGTGCCCGAGTTTCCAAATTGCCCCTGCATACATACACTTTAGGCCCCTTCCACAGGGGGCAGATTCCTTTCCGAAGAGCAGATTAGTTCACAGATCCCGTTGATTGGAGCAGAGCAGGTGAATGACACAGTTTATGCAGTGTGGACACGGACAGAATCCGCTCTATGGGTGGCCAGGTGTAAACGGACTCTGCTGTTGGTTTACATCCAACTACCCTCCAATTCGATACACCTAATGCGGAGGAGGACAGATCCCTTTCTGTTTTTTTTTTTTGAGGGGGATCAGATTGGATTGAATGCACGATCCGATCAGTTCTGCCTTGAAAACTGAAACTGTGTAAAAGGGGACCCAACCCCTTCCCAGCTGACCATACGCATATATGTGACCTTACTGCACCGGGCTTTTTTTTCCCCAGTAGGGCCACCCATTCCCAAGTCACCCGATTACTGTCATGGCCTCTGATTGGCTATCACAGTGATCAGTCACTGTGCAGCATGCCCCTGTTTAGCATCACTCTGAATGGAGAGAGTGATACATTTTATCTGTCTTTTTGCAGGGAGAAAGCGGGTTATACAAATGTATCAATAATAACAACGAAAAAAATAACTAGATAATAACAAATAGATCTAGGTCAGTGCCAGGGTTAATGTTCGGGTCAAAGGTCAGGGTCAGTTAATTTTGGGCAGTATTTTCTTTAAAAAAAAAAAAAAAATTAAATTAGTATCAGTGTGTTGTATGTAGGATAGAAAAAGCAAAATGTACTTTTATGGTTTCTGGGCTTTACTAATGGAACAAACAAGAACATACACATAGGTAGTATGTTGCAATCGTCAGGAGCAGAATTTATTTTGGGTTGTTCTATGGAATAGGTTATGGTAGTAGCCAAAAATGTACAACTAAATAAAAAAAAAAAAAAAAAAAGGTTTTGAGCCAGTTTAACCGCCTCCCATTTAAGCAAACAACAGGAGGGTGGCAGCTCTCGTCATATGACGTCCTCCCACTCTAACTGCGCATGCGCACCAATCACAGTAAAGAGCCAATGACATCGTAGGCTCTATTATGTGATCAGCTGCATGTAAACAAGAAAATGATGGTTATCGGCAGTTCTTTGTGAATTCCTAAAAAAAAAAAAAAAAAAAAAAAAAAAAAAAAAAAAAAACACACCACACCCACATCTCTATGAATAAACAAAAACAGCGTACAGCAACTCATCATTAATATTGGTTTTCATGAACAAGTCTGACAATGTGAGCTTTCTTTGCACTCTCGGCTCACTCAAATAACTAACAATAGCTTTGCCGCATGTGACTCCAGTACAACGGGACGGCTTTACAATTGCTCAGTGAGGTTGCACATTGTGCCAGCCAACCGTCATTCCATGCAAATTCTGACTCAAGTTTCTGTGAAAAATTAGTTGCACCAAACAAAACGTGTTGGAACATAAACCGAGGACAGTCTGACACTGCAGGGATACTGTGCCACCACCGCCACACCGTGCTGGGCAACGTGGTGCTACTGCCCTCACATGACACTGGGCAACGTGGTGCTACTGCCCTCACATGACACTGGGCAACGTGGTGCTACTGCCCTCACATGACACTGGGCAACGTGGTGCTACTGCCCTCACATGACACTGGGCAATGCCGCGCCCACCCCCAGCCGCTTGATGCCAAGCCAGGCAACAGAGTGCCCCCCCCAGTGTGATACCAGCCAACACAGTGCCCAGTGCCACATGATGCCAGGTAACACACTGTTGCCAGATAACAGTGTCACTGCTGCGTCACGCTGGACAAGGTAGTGCCCGCTTCCACGTGACACCGAGCAGCACAGTGGCCATTGGCTACAGTGTCACTGCTGTGTGACACTGGAAAAATAGCGTCACTATCACGGGGCGCTGGGCAACATAGTGCCCCTCCTCCAAGTGACGCTGAGCAACACAGTTACTACTGCCACATGACAGCAGGCAACAAAGCGCCCCCCCCCCCCCCGTGTGATACCAGGCAACACAGTGCCCACTGCCGCATGACGCCACGCAACAGAGCGCCCCCCCAGTGTGATACCAGCCAGCACAGTGCCCACTGCCACACGATACCAGCCAACACAGTGCCCACTGCCACACGATACCAGCCAACACAGTGCCCACTGCCACACGTGCCCACCAGCCAGCCAACACAGTGCCCACTGCCCACACGATACCAGTGCCCAACATAGTGTCGCCAGGTAACAGTGTCACTGCCACACGACGCTGGAAAACGTAGTGCCCACTTCCACGTGACACCGAGCAACACATTGGCCATCAGCAACATAGCGTCGCTGCTGTGTGACACTGGAAAAATAGTCACCATCACGGGGCGCTGGGCAAAGTAGTGCCCCTCCTCCAAGTGATGCCGAGCAACACAGTGACTACTGCTGCATGACGCCTGGTAAAAGAGCGCTCCGGTATGATACCAGCCAACGCAGCGCCCACCATCACGCGACGCCTAGGGAACGCGGCGCCCACCATCACGCGACGCTTAGGGAACGTGGTGCCCACCATCACGCGACGCTTAGGGAACGCGGTGCCCACCATCACGCGACGCTTAGGGAACGCGGTGCCCACCATCACGCGACGCTTAGGGAACGTGGCGCCCACCATCACGCGACGCTTAGGGAACGTGGCGCCCACCATCACGCGACGCTAAGGGAACGCGGTGTGCCCACCATCACGCAAGGCTAGATGACGCGGCGTCCACCGTCACGCGACGCAGATCCCAGAACACATTGCCCCTCCATATCTGTGTGTCAGATACAGAACTCCTCTCCGGCCCCCATATCTCCTCTCAGGACATGCTGGTATCTGTAGTCCCCCCACAACATGACACACACAGTGCAGCCCAGCTGACAGCACACAGCTGATGTACCTCTGAAGACCTCCTGCAGCTGCTGGAAGCCACTGCTGGCCAGGAAACCGCACACATCCTCCACATCCCACTCCCTGAAGTCCCCGCTGCCAGGATAGGACTTCACCCTCTTCTCCGGTGACAGGTACCCGTCTTCCCGCACAGGGGAGGCTTCTTGCCGCCTTCTCTTGGCTCCGTTCATCTTCACAGCGACAACAAGCGGAGGAGTAGAGGGCCGAGGGAATAAAACCGGCTCCTGACGTCACCCTGCATCACCGCCCACCATGAGCTCCACAGCAGCTGCCCCCTCAAGCTCTGCGCGTGCGCACTCCACCTTGGCGGGAAGACGGTCTGTGAGGAGAGTGTGTGAGTAGAGGGGAGTTCAGAAAGGCGATGACCTTTTCCCTGAGGGTGGAGGTGGGTGACCATGTTACACGTTCATTTGAAACTATAGCGTTTATCATCTGCTATCTGCAGCATATTTGTTTCACATACATGTTGAAAATCTCCATTTTTTTTCTCCAATCATTTTTTATTAATTTTTAAACATTTCTTTTATAAAATCAATAATCCTGCAATCCAATCTCTCTTTACAATTACAGGTAAATGTTCAATATAATGACAAACCTTCCAGAATTATCCAAATGACATCTTAAATCATTCTCATACTAGAAAAAATCCAATAAATAGCTACTGAAAAAATGATTTCCCATATATTATAATATACCCATACAATATAACTTATAAATAAAGCAAATATTGAAAAAAATAAGAATTTTATACTAAAAAATTAATTAGAAACCCCAAAAGTTAAATATTTTCTGAAAGCAGAGGCCCTGGAGAATGGAGAATAAAATGGTGCCAGCTGCTATTTTTTTGTTGCACGATATTTGGACATTTATCGAACACAAAATACAATAAAATGAATTTAGTGCCTACAAACTCAATACCAGGGGCAGGCTGACAACTCATGGGGCCCCCGGGCAATAGGGGATCATGGGGCCCCTGTGTCCTTGCCCAAACTCAAAAAAGCCTATGAAAAAGGTACCAGGGGCATCTCATGGGGCCCCCTACTGACCCCGGGCCTTCGGGCATTGTCCGAGTTTCAAATGGTCAGTCCGCCCCTGATCAATACCCATGTTTTTCTTCGTCAAGTAAATAATTACCAAACGTATCAAGACTCTCTCTCTATATATATACAGTCAGGTCCATAAATATTGGGACATCGACACAATTCTAACATTTTTGGCTCTATACACTACCATAATGGATTTGAAATGAAACAAACAAGATGTGCTTTAACTGCAGACTGTCAGCTTAATTTGAGGGTATTTACATCCAAATCAGGTGAACGGTGTAGGAATTACAACAGTTTGCATTTGTGCCTCCCACTTTTTAAGGGACCAAAAGTAATGGGACAATTGGCTTCTCAGCTGTTCCATGGCCAGGTGTGTGTTATTCCCTCATTATCCCAATTACAATGAGCAGATAAAAGGTCCAGAGTTCATTTCAAGTGTGCTATTTGCATTTGGAATCTGTTGCTGTCAACTCTCATGATGAGATCCAAAGCTGTCACTATCAGTGAAGCAAGCCATCATTAGGCTGAAAAAAACAAAACAAACCCATCAGAGAGCAAAAACATTAGGCGTGGCCAAAACAACTGTTTGGAACATTCTTAAAAAGAAGGAACGCACCGGTGAGCTCAGCAACACCAAAAGACCCGGAAGACCACGGAAAACAACTGTGGTAGAGGACCAAATAATTCTTTCCCTGGTGAAGAAAACACCCTTCACAACAGTTGGCCAGATCAAGAACACTCTCCAGGAGGTAGGTGTATGTGTGTCAAAGTCAACAATCAAGAGAAGACTTCACCAGAGTGAATACAGAGGGTTCACCACAAGATGTAAACCATTGGTGAGCCTCAAAAACAGGAAGGCCAGATTAGAGTTTGCCAAACGACATCTAAAAAAGCCTTCACAGTTCTGGAACAACATCCTATGGACAGATGAGACCAAGATCAACTTGTACCAGAGTGATGGGAAGAGAAGAGTATGGAGAAGGAAAGGAACTGCTCATGATCCTAAGCATACCACCTCATCAGTGAAGCATGGTGGTGGTAGTGTCATGGCGTGGGCATGTATGGCTGCCAATGGAACTGGTTCTCTTGTATTTATTGATGATGTGACTGCTGACAAAAGCAGCTGGATGAATTCTGAAGTGTTTCAGGCAATATTATCTGCTCATATTCAGCTAAATGCTTCAGAACTCATTGGACGCCGCTTCACAGTGCAGATGGACAATGACCCAAAGCATACTGCAAAAGCAACCAAAGAGTTTTTTAAGGGAAAGAAGTGGAATGTTATGCAATGGCCAAGTCAATCACCTGACCTGAATCCGATTGAGCATGCATTTCACTTGCTGAAGACAAAACTGAAGGGAAAATGCCCAACAACAAGCAGGAACTGAAGACAGTTGCAGTAGAGGCCTGGCAGAGCATCACCAGGGATGAAACCCAGCATCTGGTGATGTCTATGCGTTCCAGACTTCAGACTGTAATTGACTGCAAAGGATTTTCAACCAAGTATTAAAAAGTGAAAGTTTGATTCATGATTCTTATTCTGTCCCATTACTTTTGGTCCCTTAACAAGTGGGAGACACATATGAAAACTGTTGTAATTCCTACACCGTTCACCTGATTTGGATGTAAATACCCTCAAATTAAAGCTGACAATCTGCAGTTAAAGCACATCTTGTTCGTTTCATTTCAAATCCATTGTGGTGGTGTATAGAGCCAAAAATGTTAGAATTGTGTCGATGTCCCAATATTTATGGACCTGACTGTATACTTATATATATATAAACGTGTGCCCTACAGTGCCTTGAAAAAGTATTCATCCACCTTGAAATTTTCCACTTTTTGTCATGTTACAACCAAAAACGTAAATGTATTTTATTGGGATTTTATGTGATCGACCAACACAAAGTGGCACATAATTGTGAAGTGGAAGGACAATGAGAAATGGTTTTCAACATTTTTTACAAATAAATATCTGAAAAGTGTGGCGTACATTTGTGTTCAGCTCCCTTTACTCTGTCACCTCTAACTAAAATCAGTGGAACCAATTGCCTTTGGAAGTCACCTAATTAGTAAATAGAGGCCACCTGTGTGTAATTTAATCTCAGTATAAATACAGCTGTTCTGTGAAGCCGTCAGAGGTTTGTTGGAGAACATTAGTGAACAAACAGCATCATGAAGGTCAAGAAAAACACCAGACAGGTCAGGGATAAAGTTGTGGAGAAGTTTAAAGCAGGGTTCTCGGTTATAAAATAATATCCCAAGCTTTGAACATCTCACGGAGCACTGTTCAATCCATCATTCGAAAATGGAAAGAGTATGCAGAACTGCAAACCTACCAAGACATGGCCGTCCACCTAAACTGACAGGCCAGGCAAGGAGAGCATTAATCAGAGAAGCAGCCAAGAGGCCCATGAGAACTCTGGAGGAGCTGCAGAGATCCACAGCTCAGGTGGGAGAATCTGTCCTCAAGACAACTATTACTCGTGCACTTCACAAATCTGGCTTCTATGGAAGAGTGGCAAGAAGAAAGCCATTGTTAAAAGAAAGCTATACGAAGTCCTGTTTGCAGTTTGTGAGAAGCCATGTGGGGGACACAGCAAATATGTGGAAGAAGGTGCTCTGCTCAGATGAGCCCAGAATGTAATTGTTTGTCCTAAAAGAAAAATGCTATGTGTGGTGGAAAACTAACACTGCACATCACCCTGAACACACCATCCCCACTGTGAAACGTGGTGGCAGCATCATGTTGTGGGGATGCTTTTCTTCAGCAGGGACAGGGAAGCTGGTCAGAGATGATGGGAATTTGGATGGAGCCAAATACAGGGCAATCATAGAAGAAAACCTGTTATAGTCTTCAAAAGACTTGAGACTGGGGCGGAGGTTCACCTTCCAGCAGCACAACGACCTGAAACATACAGCCAGAGCAACAATGGAATGGTTTAGGTCAAAGCATATTCATGTGTTAGAATGACCCAGTCAAAGTCCAGACCTAAATGCAATTGGGAATTAGTGGCAAGACTTGAACGTTGCTGTTCACAGACGCTCTCCATCCAATCTGACAGAGCTTGAGCTATTCTGCAAAGAAGAATGGGCAGAAATGTCCCTCTCTAGATGTGCAAAGCTGGTAGAGACATTCCCAAAAAGCCTTGCAGCTTTAATTGCAGCGAAAGGTGGTTCTACAGAGTACTGACTCCGGGGGGCTGAATACAAATGTAAAATGTATATTACTTCCAAATGTATTATTGGAGATATGCATCTTTCTTTCTTTGAGTGTGTGACTGTAGTCTTGTAGTTTTATTTATTTATTTTTTTCATATAAATACCATAAATACATCCACTTCCTCTTCTTTGCTTTAGCAAACTGACTGCACAAAACACACAGGAAGGATCTTCAGGTCAACTGTGCAATCACAACAACAAAACTAGAAAAGCTACAATTTCTGGGGAAATTGTGTGGTGTTCTTGCCTCCATCAGTAGTCTACAACTGGAGTGGGCGGAGTAACTGGGTGGAGTAACTGTTGTGTGGTTGGAGTGGCTGGAGTAACTGTGAAAAGGTTGGACTGGGCAGTCCCACGCTACCCACTCTAGTTTTGAACAATCCGCCATTCATTCGTACGGGACCAATTTCACCATTCGGCGAAACATTCCACAAAGTAATAGCACACCAATTGGGAACAATCCGCACGTTTCGGTATACTGCTGTCTATGTAGTGTAAAAACTGTGGGAGGAGTTAGGGTGGTAAATTTGGCTATAATAACAAGAATATATATGCGAGATAACAGTAAGTGGTCTTGCCATGCAAGAACACTTAATTAAAGAAAGAAAGAAAAAGTGCTACAGGTAACTTGTCTATCATCAGAGGAGGGTTAAGCTGCCACCTTCTGGTGATTGGACACTGGGCAAAAAAAAAGCAGTAATCCCATCCCAGTTAGGCACAGCCTCAGGCTCCCAGCGATGGTGCACATCAATCACTATGGGGGATCAAGAAGTCCCTTCACTCAGGAGGAAACGGATATGATTTTGTCTTGGCCCAAAAGTCACATTCCCATCGTGGAGAATTGGAAGGTGGACCTTCTCAGCAGACAATGTCTGCATCCGGTGGAGTGGGCCCTTCACCCAAAGGTGTTCAAGGTGCTCTGC